ATCAATGCTTTAAAAAAAAAAGAGATTGTGCATTTATCCCTATGAATTCAATTCAACAAGCATTTATTTATTTGTTACTGAGGAAATGGACTGTGTCTGAAATAAGCACAGATGGTGAAATTACTTGGTGTATGGTGAAGACCATCACCGTCTTTAGAGAGACATATTCATCCCTCTCTTAATCACCTATTTATTGGCATTGCTATATTGGTTAAAATGCCAGGAATTTATACTTTAAACTGGACACATTCCCCTCCCTCCACTACCCCAACTGCATTGTTTTGGGAAAATGTAAAATAAATGTTTTTGAAGGAAAAAAAGGAGAAATGTTTCAGGTTTATATTATCTGCTTCCTCAGTTTTTTTAACTTGTTCTGACTTTCTCTTGCTACTCAGCATGCTCTGGTCTCCTTCAGCCATTGTCCAGTTTGTACACACTTAGAGAATGTAAAATGTTTGTATTAGTGAAGTCAAATACAATTTAGTAGAAAAATCGACCACAAATAGAAATGGCTTTTTGATGATCTGCACAGCTATTTTCATCATCACTGAGAAGCAGTGTTCCATAATATATAAAGACAGGCAGCTAGCCTTGAAGCTGAGAAGATCAAGGTTCCAGTGCTGCCTCTGACATATATTGGCCATGTGACCCTGGGCAAGTCACCTAAGATCTCAGTGCTCTAGGCAGCTCTCTAAAACTCGGAGATGTGGAGAAGGTGCTGACTTGCAGCGGTAGAGAGTTTCTTCATCTAGGAATCTTAAATTGGTTGGTTGGTGGTTGTCCTTCCTTCTTGAAGAGGACCAAAATGACATCACTGTGTTGGGGTCAAAGTACAGTGGCTGATCAGACCAATATGAGCTTGAAAGACTCTACCACAGGTCAAGCATAAATGGCCCATATGAACATTTGGAGTAGAGCATCTCACTTTTCTTTTGAGCTGATGCAATTCTGCTTCGTTCATACAGCACAGCTCCTTCTTTGATTTGGGCACACCATGCTCAGCCAGCCTATGCCATCGTCTCCCATGTCTCACAACTGATTCCAGAATTCTTCAGAGAAACCTGGAGATGTCTTTGTATCTCTTCTTCCGACCTCCGTGTAAATGCCTGTCTTGTGTGAGTTTTTCATAAAATAATAGTCTTTTAAGCAAACGTATTTTTGGCATTCAAACAATGTAGCCAGCCCATTGGATTAACCCTAAATCAATGAAGTGATAGATCCCATTTCTTTCCTACCTGTGTCTTTCTTACCTTAGCACGTTTCTGACCTGTATTTTGCTCTTTTTCTTTCTTTCTTTCTGAACAGTCTTTGTTGGGGAATTAGTCATGTAATAAACCTTTAAACCTATCTATATGTATTATAAATACATATGTATATGTGTATATGTATATGTATATATAGTTGTTTATTCTTTTTTCAGTCTTATCTGACTCTTCATGACCCCTTTTGGGGTTTTCTTTACAAATATGCTGAAGTGGTTTGCCATTTCCTTCTCCAACTCATTTAACACATGAGGAAACTAATGCAAAGAGGGTTAAGTGACTTGCCCAGGATCACACAGCTAGGAAGTTTCTGAGGGTGGATTTGAACTCAGAAAAATGAGTCTTCCTGACTCGAGGCCAGACACTATCCACTGAACCACCTAGCTGCCCTCTTATCTATCTATCTATCAGCCAGCTCTTTCTCTCTTTATATATAGATATAATTTTATTAATGCTTTTTTTACATTACTCTCACTTCTTAATGACTTCCCACGCTCAGTAGAACCCTTCTTTGTACCAAAGAAGTAGAGTATACATATTGTCTTTGTCTGACAAGTGCATGCTGCATTTTGCACCTGTAGGAGTTAAGACTTAGCTCACAATCTTTTGAAGTTGCTATTGGTCAATCAATCTATTAGAATTCTGTGTCTTTCCATACTGATTTCCTTCACGTTATTGTGTGAATTATTTTCTTAATTCTGCTTATTTTATTCTGCACAAATCTATACAAGTATCCTCAAGTTTCCCTCAATTCTTCAGAGCTTATTTTGTACTATAACATCCCATTATATTTATATATTGGTGACATAGTGGATAGAGTGCTGGTCCTGGAGTCAGGAAGACTTGAGTTCACATGGGGCCTCAGACACTTCCTAGCTCTGTGACCCTAGGTAAGTCACTGAACCCTGTTTGCCTTAGTTTTCTCATCTGTCAAATGAGCTGGAGAAGGAAATGATAAACTCCTCCATTATCTTTTCCAAGAAAACCCCAGATGGGGTCACAGAGTCAGAAAAAAACTGAAACAACCAAACAACAACATTTATATTAATATATTACAACAGATTTATTAAGCACCTACTGTGTGTAAGCCACTATTCTAGAAGGCATTAGGGATGCAAGGACAAAATAAAAAATAATCCCTATGCTTCATTCCTTTATTCTTCCCTAGGCTGTTTTTCCTACCATACCACAGAAATCTTTGTTTCCTGAAAGCTCATTCTAACCTTGGACTTCACGTACTGGAAGTAACCTCCCCACCCATAGCCTCTTTCTCTGTTTGGCTGGTCCGTCCCAGAAACTACGTTTTAAAGGAGGATGCTCAGGCCAGCTATATCTTCTTTCCTCTCCTGATTGCACTCCTAACTCTCTGGACTTTTTCTACCCCAACCCTCATCTCTTCCTCCTCACCTTGTCTCTCCCTCCCTCCATTCTTTCAGTTTCCTTTCATATGTGGTCTTCCCCCATTAGAGTGTAAGCTTCTTGAGGGAAGGGGCTGTCTTTATTTCTGCTTGTATTGGTCTTCTCAGCAGTTGGCACAGTGCCTGACACACAGTAAATACTTATTAAATGCTTGTTGATTTGACTTGACCTACCCTTAAGGAGCTTACATTCTACTCTATTCCATCCTATTGTCACTACATTTTGGGAGCCAGTTTTGTCATCCAGAATATTAACCATCTCTTCTCACTTCATGTCATATGCTAGTTGAATAAACATGCCATCTATGTCTTCAACCAACTTATTGGTAAAAAATATTGGAAAGAACACATATATTTTTCTCTCTGTGGCACATGACTTAACACTTCTGTCTGGGCATGTATCTCCTTCTCCCTCCATTTTTAGTTTTAAGCTCTCTTGATTATATCAGCAAGTCTCTGGGCAAATAACTTTCTTCTTAGTGCTCACCCAGACGCAATATGGCCTTGACCAAGTTCACAAAGGAGCAATTGAAAGTCCTTGAGCAGGAGAGACATATATTTAGAGTTGTACATTAAGAAAAATAGGCGGGGCAGCTAGGTGGCGCAGTGGATAGAGCACCGGCCCTGGATTCAGGAGGACCTGAGTTCAAATGCGGCCTCAGACACATAACACTTACTAGCTGTGTGACCCTGGGCAAGTCACTTAACCCCATTGCCTAGCCCCCTCCCCCCAAAAAAAGAAAAATAGGCAGTAGTTTGTAGAATTGATATGAGAGAAACTAGAGCCAGAGAAACCGTTGCTGCTGTTTGTCCTTCCTTCTCAAAGATGACCATGACATCAGGAAAAGTCACCAGCTTCACTTTCTCCTCCGGAGCCATCTGAGTCCAGTGGCCAGATATGGATCAGGACAACTGGAGATGGGCAAGATGACAATGAAGATATGAATGAGATTGGTGGTGACATTTATGTAGAAAGTGTTTTATATGCATTATTTCCTTTTATCCTAACTACAGCCCTGTGAAATAGGTGCTAACATTTTTCTTATTTTACAGATGAAGGAACCAAGACTCAAAAAGGCTGAGTTGTCCAAGATCACACAAATAATAAATGTTTGAGGCAAGATTCAAACGAGTCTTTTTGGCCCCAGGTCTAATGCTCTATCATCTCCAGCCCACCTCCTTTAGAAAGGGACAGACAGATTCAAGAGAAATTATGGATGCAGAATTTATGAGATTTGGTGACAGGATACAGGGGACAAAGGAGAAGGAAGAACCAAAAATGACTTGGAGTTTATGAACAGGGATTAATTACTACAAGAACTGTATGCCATTTCCAGAAATGGAAGGTGAGAAGAAGAGCAGGTTGTGGAGGAAAAGTGACGAGTTCAGTTTTAGGCATTTTACACTTTAGATTCCATCAGGGAGTGCAAAGGGAGATTCTGGTACTTAGTTGGAGTCTGGAAAAGAGGTCAAGGCTAGAGATAGGGTTTGGGAATCATCTGGATAGAGTCAATAATTAAAGGGAACGGAGTGGTCATAGAAAAAGAAGAGAAGAGGGTTGAGGGCAGAACCTTGGGGAGTTCCTATATCAAAAGAGTCAGGAAAAAGAGGGAACAGAAGAAACAGAGAATGTACTCCAGGGAAAGCCAGAATGGTTCTGTCTCAGAGAAACCAAAGTGAGAGTCTGGTTTGTAGCATCATATGTGACATATGAGGCAGCTAGGTGGCACAATGGATAGAGCACTGGGCTTGGAATCAGGGAGACTCGTCTTCCTGAGTTCAAAGCTGGCTCCAAACACTTACTAGCTGTGTGACCCTGGGCAAGTCACTGAAACCTGTTTGCTTCAGTTTCCTCATCTGTCCAATGAGCTAGAGAAGGAAATGGCCCACCACTCCAGTATCTTTGCCAAGAAAACCCCAAAAGGGGTCACAAAGAGTCCAACACGACTAAACAACAATAACATGCTGTGAGGAAGTCAAGAATTTCTAGGCACTCATCTCCTCCTCCCATACTTAGTTTTAAAGCCCCTTTTGACCAGATCATCCAATCTCTGGACAAACACTTGAGCTGCAGTCTGCCAGGCCATTGGACTTGATGATTAGGAAGTCATTGTTGACCCTTGAGAAAGCTAAATTACAGTATGTGAGGAGTGAGTGGGTGGTGGAGTGGAAGGAGGAAAGCTTCCCAGACTACACCAGGGAGGCTGCTGTTATTAACACATGGAGGGTTTGGCCTTTCCTCTACAGAGCCCAATACAGTTCTCTCCTTTAGCATACCTGTATAAATATGTTTGCAAACAGACTGTCTCTTGCCTTCCAGACAAGAGGCGTACGAAGGCCCCTGAATTCATCACTCCTCCCATCCAGGAGGAGCCTGAGCAAGTCAGCAATGTCCTGCAAGGAGATGATATCCTGGCTTTGGCCATTAAGCAGGAGGACTTAAAGAAGGTGGGGATCACACCGGGTGAGCTTTTACTCTAGAGTCAGCCTTAGCGTCTCTTGTTGGCACTTTTTTCCATACCCTGTGTGGTGGATGGCTCTTTTTAAAACTGAACCACGTCCACAGTCGTCCTTGGCCCACTCCTCATTGTGCATCTGTTGTTGTCATTGTCGTCATGGTGACTCATCTACCTTAAGGGAAAGACTGATTGCACACAGGCACTCATCATTTTGAATTCCAAAGGAACTCCTGAATTATGCATATTGACATTTGAGATTCTTGTAAACATTTCCCATGTAAGGAAAAAAAATGAAGTTGAATGTGATCCCACGTTATATCCATATAGGAACTGTCTTCTGAGGCTCGAAATGCTAGAAAGAAACTCATTTATGTTTTCTACATCCCAGCAAGGGGCTGTAGAGGTCAGGCATGTGGAGTCCATCATTGTTATCTGCATTTCATAGATGGCCAATGCAGTCTGTTTTCCAGCCCTCAGTGGTTTCATTGAGGAGGAGGTAAGAGTAGCCAGTCTAGTACTTGTGTACATGTTCTTCTGATCTCGTGCAATTTTGTTTCTTTAGCAACATATTCCTCGTCCTCCTGACCTAGAGGAGAAAACTGTTGCCCATCAAGTTTTCATTCGAAAACATAAAACCCAAAAGGCCAAGAGGGTGACACGTCACTTAGTAGCTCGCCCTGCTGCTCCTGAAGCAGCCACAAAGCCCTTGGATTACTCTGGTAAGACCAGAATTCATTCCGCCTCCAAATGCATAGGCCATCCTTGAAAACAAACTGTCCTCCCCTTAGATAGCAGGGGCTCTTTTCAGAAATCTCGTGGGTTATAAAGGTCCATGTAGAGATGTTTGTGGTGATGAGTAGTTCTCAACAATTAAAGGAATTTTACCCCTCCTTTCCTCTTTTACCAGGGCCAGTAGAGGAAAGCTCTGATGGCAAATTACAGATTCTCCCCCACAACATTTTGGGAACACTCTGTGACTTCAAGAGAATAGCAGTTGCCCAAGGAAACACTGAGGTATATTGGTAAAGAGCTGTGTAGATGTGGGAAATCACTAGAAGCTTTTTGTCTTCTGCCCCTCCCCAGGCATTTTTAGGCTGAAATCACCTTGAAGTGCCATCTGTTTCAGTCTTACAGTCAGGGGCATACTGGAGCCAGCTTGAACTGGCTTGATAGAGAGCCCATTGTTAAATTTTCAGTAGCAAGCTTTTACACCTCAAAGCTATCAGTCAGGGCTTGATTCATTATTTTAGTTGTCTAGACTTGAGAAATTGATGGAGAAAGCATTAATGGTGCATGTTAAACTTAAAAGTGTCTAGTGTACATTCTTTCCCCTTTGGGGAATCTGTTGTTAAACATTTACCAGAACACCTCTGCTTACAGTGCTATATATCAGACAGATGCTCCAAATACGGGCAGCAGTAACTCTGTTCTGTCATATAGGAAGAACTGACTGTTTCATTCTGTCATTACCTGTCCAAGAAACCTAAAGATAAGTGTTCCCATGGAGGGGGCAGGTATTTTTTAATGGATTGATCTATATGAAAATTCCTTCTGATCCTCAGAACGTGTCCCATGTCCAAGGTAGTGATGGGTGCAAGTAGGGGGACCCTTCTATCTCTTCCATTCTCTAGTTAGCTAAAATGATCCCAGACACCGCCGGTGTGGACAATGTCATCATTGCAGTACCAGAGGAGCCAAAGAAACAACCCCCAAAAGAGAAGGTAGACCTCTGGCTACCACCTTCTCAGCATAAATCTCTAAAGAACTGGAAACGCAATATGACCCTGAGGAAGAAGCAGCAAGAATCTCTAAGTAGTAAGTAAAGTCTAGGAGTCTTGACTCCAGACCTGTGCACTACTATGCTAAGCTCCTGTCCAGCCGTCAGGAAGGCAGCTGCAGGCTGGTGAAGAGGGCCCTAGCCTCTGCCTTTCACTAGCCATGCTGCCTTGGGCTAGGTGCTCAACTCCTCTGAGTCTCAGCTTACTTATCTGTAGAAGGGGGATAATGACATTTATACTAGCTACCTTTCAGGGGGTTGTAATGGCCAAGTGAGATAATGGGTCTAAAGCACTTTGTAAACCATAAAATGGGATATAATTATAAGCTATTATTATTATTGATGATGCTCATTGTGATGTTGAGGTCATCCTCTCTTGTACCACATGTCCAAATCCCTTGAGCCTGGGACTGAATTGGTTACTTCTACTGCTGGAATCTGTGTTCTGGAGCCAATTCAGGCCTCATGCTTGTTAATTTTCAGTGTGAGCATTTACACCTTGGAAATCTATAAATTGGTGCCTGACCTGTTGTCTTGTTAATTGGTCTAGACTTAAGAAAATTATGGAGAAAATGTTAATAATGCAAGTTAAACTTAAAAGGTGTTTTCAGAAGGCCATTTTTTAAACATTTACCAGCACACCTGGATCTGTCTCTTTCATGAGCCTGATAAATGTACTAACTTGACTGCATGAGGTACTTAACAATCATTTGTTCTGACTATTATGGAAAGATAAAATGAGAGAGACTAATGGGGCTGGGCAGCTGTGGAAGAAAGGGTGACATGCCTTCATCTGTCAATAGAACATCTGAAGAAGCCAGTGAATGAGCTGCTGATGAACACAGGGGAGGGCTTCAGACGGGTACAGGAAGAAAGGAATCTGATTGAATGTTCCCTTTCTGTTTTATATTATGGGAAGGTAAGAAGAAACATCCCCCACTTTTCATTCCTAATTTGCACAGTTCATTTTTTGGAGGAAAGAGCATAGTTTGGACATTAGGGCAACCAATTTCATTTGGCAGAGAAAAGCCTTGCCCCATTGCAAACCTTGGGAGTATCCAAGGGACCTCTTCTTAACAACAACAATAATAAGCATTTATTATGCACCTAACATAGGGCAGTTAGGTCATGCAGTGGATAGAGTACCAGACCTGGAGTAAGGAGGACCTGAGTTCAAATTTGACCTCAGACACTTCCTAGCTGTATAACCCTGGGCAAGTCACTTAACCCTATTTGCCTCAGTTTCCTCAGCTGTCAAATGAGCTGGAGAAGGAAATGGCAAACCACTCCGGTATCTTTGCCAAGAAAATCCCAACTAGGGTCAAGGAGAGTGGGACGTGACTCAGCAACAAGCACCTACCATGTGTAAGCTGCTGCACCAGGTACTGGAGATACAAGGACAAAACCAAAAACAGAGCCTGCCTTCGAGAAGCTTACATTCTGCTGAGAAAATACATTGTTTCCACAGATAAATAAGCACAAAGTAGTTTTAGGAGAGAGTGCTAGGGAGCACCATTAATTAGGAAGATCAAGAAAGTCTGTGTTGGTACCTGAGTTCAGGCCTGAAGGATGCTAAGGATTGGAAGAAGTGGAGGTGATGAGGGGGTGCCTTCCAGGCATGGGGAGCAGCTTGTACAAATGCGTTAATGGTGGGAAATGGGTATCAAGTTTGGAAACAGCAAGTAAGCCAGTTTGGCTAGACTTTCAAATGTATAATGGAGAATAATGTGAAATAAGTTTAGAAAAGTACTTTGAAGTTAGGCTGAGAAGGGACTGAGAAGTCCCAAGCCAGAGAATTGTTTTAATCTTTGGGTTATAAGGGACCACTGAAGTTTCTTGATCAGGGGAATGGCATAGACTTGCACTTTAGGAAGATGATTTTGGCAGCTGTTTGGTGGATGGATAGGACCAGGGAGAGAGTGGAAGAAGAGAAGTCAATTAGGAGGCAACTACTATAGTCCAGTTGTGGGGTAATGAAGGGTTGTATGGGTAGAGAGGAAGGGATAGAAAGGAGAGATATTGTGGATGTAGAATTGGTAAGCTTTAGCCAGTGAAGAAGAAGGAAGAGTTGAAGTTGACTATGGTGCTCTCCCACAGAAAGTTTTTGGGGAAAGGCAGATTTAAGGGGGCGGGAATAATGAAGTTATCCATTTTGAAGATTTTGAGTTTAAGATGCCAATGGGACATCCAGGTACAAGTACTCAGAAGTCATTTTGGAGATATTGGACAAAAGTTTAGGAGAGCTACTGGGATGGGACATATTGATTTGGGTGTCATCTCTACTGAGATAAATGAATCTAAAGGCGTGGATGAAATCACCCAAAGAGAGGGTGTAGAAAGAGAAGGGCCCAGTACAGAGCCTGGAGGGACCCTTGTCGTTAAAGGGCCGGACATGGATGATGATCCAGTGAAGGAGACTGAACAGGAGTAGTTAGGTAGGTAGCATGAGAAAACTGTCATGAAAGCTGAGTAGGAGAGAGCCTCCAGGCGGAGGGGTAGTCAGCAGCATTGGAAGCTGCAAAGGAGGTTCCCAAGGACAAGGACAGAGAAAAGATCATTGGCTCTAGCAGTTAAGAGATCCTTGTGAACCCCAGAGAGAGCAGTCTCAATGTGTTTTGGACTCAGATGCGACACTGTGAGGGTTTGAGAACAGAATGGGAGAGAAGGAAGAGGGGACAACAATAGTAGAGGGCTTTTTAGGAGTTTAGGTCACAAAGGGAGGAGAGATTTGGGACGATGACCTGAGGGGTTGTCAAAGTTAAGTAAAGATTTTTTAAGGACAGAGGAGACCTGGGCATGTTTGTCATCAGCAGAGAAGGAGCTCACAAAAAAAGAGAGGCTGGAGATTTGAGAGAGGGGGGAGTATTAGAAGTGTAAAGCTCCCAGAGGAAAGAGGATCGAGGGTACAAGGAGAAGCATTGGTCTCGTCAAAGGTCGCAGAGAAGGAGGGAGTGGGGAATGATTTAGAGACACTCATTGGTATTATTGAACCTTGAATTGGTACTAGAACTAGACCCTTTGGTGGCTAACTATTGTTCCTAGGTTGAACTAAAAACTTCCTAGCTTGGCATTTACAATTCTTTACAACCTGACTCCATATTACCTTTCTGGGCTCATTCCATATTATTTCCTTCCTCTCTACTGCCACTTCTTACATTCTCCAGCTTCCTTAACAGCTCTTACCAGATGTCTTTGCTTCATCCCCTCCAGTGCCCACTAACTGGTCCAATCCAGTAGTTCCTATGGGAAACTTTTGCTGAGTCTCAGTGTTCAGTGTGCTATCTCTCCTTAAACAGTCATATATGTCCTTATCTATTTACATATTGTATTCCCTCAGCACAGTTTACATTCTTTGAGGAAAACTAGGACTTATTCAATTTATCTTTGAATCTCCAGTGCTTAGCATAGAGCTGTGCACACAGTAGGGTCTTTTTAATAGATAGTTTTTCTATTTATTAGGCACAGCTTAAAAAGGGGGTGGGGGAGCACTTTGGGAATTAAGTGGCTCAGGATATATTGCCATAACTTTAGAGGACATCTCCATCCAAAAAAAGCAAGATTTTCTCCCTTTTCCAAGGATTCACCCAAACAGGTCAGTGAACTTCTGACATCCAGAAAGGGAAGGAAGCTAGTATTTATTAAGTGCCTGCTGTGTGCCAGGCCCTTTACTAAGTGCTTTTCTAAGCATCCTTTCTCCTCTGTCTCTGCACAACACTTCCCAGTACTTAAAAATGTCCAAGAAAAGCACATCCAAATAAGTGACCTGCTAAGTACTTTACAGGTATCTCATTTGATAATAAAAATGTGACTTTCTTACTAAAATGTAAGAATTCAAAAATATATAGTAGGTGCTTAAATGCATGTTAAATTGGTTTGGATTGGTTAATGGGTATCAGGGTGATGGAGCGATGTCATTTAAAGTGGCCAAGGGGAGTGTGTGAGATGATGGGGTCCCAAGTGATGCAAGACTTTACATCATGAGAGAAGTCAGTTTCTATATCCTGAAAGCACAGAGTTGGATGCAGAATCTCAAACAGCCTTCAATGAAGCTAGGAAATGTGAACAGTGGAGATGAGGAGAAAGGTCACTCCAGGCATGGGGACAGCCTGTGCAAAGGCATGGCAGGGGCTAATAGCCAATTTTGTTGGAATGGAGGTAGTCCCCAAAGAGTACTCTTTTTGGGGGGCTTGTCAGTGAGGTTAAGTGACTTGCCTAGGGTCACACAGCTAGTGAGTGTCAAGTGTCTGAGGTCAGATTTGAACTCAGGTCCTCCTGACTCCTAACTAGGGATGGTGCTCTGTCCACTGCGCTACCTACCTGCCCCTAAGGGTACTGTTTTGGATCCTGATAATTCTGTATCTGTCCTAAATAACAGATCTCTCTGTAGTCTCTGTAAAAGTTAGAATTCCTTATCCCAGGAGGAAAAGTATGAAAGATTTTTCCTGTGACATCACAAGGGCTACTGTTTCATCAGAGAGAGGGTCTGTGTGCACCATATCAGATGTCTTTGACTTTCTGGGCTCCCCACATTGGTGCCATTATGAATTGGGGGGAGTCCAATCAATTCTCCTTATTTGCCAGGGCACTGAGGTCGACTGTAATTTCTGGAGCCAGCCTGAATATATTGGAGATGAACTAACAGGTCTGGTGACCCAGTGGCCTTGTTGCTACCAACGGCCCATCATTCATGTAGGGAAGCCTCAGAGCATTCAGATGGAGTCAGGTAAGGAAAACTAGCTAACACCTTGTGAGTGAAGTATTCTCAGAAATTCTACAGGGATGCTAGAGCTCTTTAGGAAGGGAAGGTAGATGAAAAGAAATAGGCTGATCTTCATGTACTGAGTGACTGTGATTTGTTCTTCAGGACTGCCATCCATGAGGAAGCCTAGGTTCCGTTTCACATGGGATAAGAGTCTCTTTTTGATTGACCGACGAAAGGAGCTCCGGCACATTCTGAAGGAATTGGACTTCAACCAGCCGGTAATGCTCCTGGACCTTTTTGTGCCCTTTTCAGTATGAAGCTCCCAGTGGGATGCTTATGTCTTTTTAGAAAAGGTAAACACATTCCCCTTTCCTGTTTTTTCCTTTTTGAATTAAGGACATTGATGGCCTAGAAGTGGTTGGTAAAGGACATCCTTTTTCATCTGTCTCTGCACAGCACTTCCCAGTCCTTAAAGATGTCAAGGAAAGCACATCTAAAGAAGCAACTCCGTGAGTTGATTTTAATGTCAGGGAAGAGTGCATAATGTCCATCATGGGACATTACTTCATGTAGTCTTTGTGGGCATTCCAGTGTCGTAGTCCCTTTTGGCATTTGTGTTTGTGTTGAGGGCCAGCCCACCCTATTAATTCTCTCTAATAGCCATCACTTCTTAGACTTACCCTTTTCAGATTTTCAGGTTTTTCTTTCAGCCATCTTTCTCACCCTGTTTTATTCTGCAAGCTGATTTTCTTGAACATTCTTACACTAGTCATGATGAATAATTATCAAATCTCATTCTGCATATAATCAATGATTCTATAGTTTTAGGACTTGGCAATTTTTGGATTTTCCTTTGTTTGGCTTTTAAAGCCTTTCACAACCTGGCTACTTCCTGCCTTTGCAGTCTTCTTACATTTCACTCCCCTCCATGGACTGTATGATCTAGCAGCACAGGCCTTTTTTGCCAAACATTCCATCTCCTGACCCAGTGGCCTTTTGACTTTCTGTCCCCCATGTCTGGAATGCTCACCTTCTTGACCTTGCCCTTGGCCTCAGTGTCCCTTGGCTTTCTTCAAGACTCAGCTCCAATCCCACCTCCTGCAGGAAGCTTTTCCTGGTCATCCCCCACTGCTAGTACCTCCCCTCCATTTACACTGCATAGATATTATGTAGACAGAATTATTTGCATGTAGTTTCTCCCATTGGAATGGGAGCTCTGTGAGGTCAGGGAGTATGTTTTTACCTCTCTTTGTCTCACAATAGCTAGCATTTATACAGTGCTTTAAGGCTGCTGAAACCTTTACAGTCACTATTGCATTATTGCATTTTATCTTCATAATAACCCTGGCAGGAGGTAGGTGCTATTATTATCCTAATTTTCCAAATGAGGCAACTGGGGCAGGCAAAGGTTAAGTGACAGTTAGGGTGTATCTTGAGGCTTGATTTGAACTCAGGACTTCCTGATTCCAATCCAGTGGTCTGTCCACTGCACCACCTAGCTATCACCAGTATTTAGCATTGGGACCTAGTACTCGATAAACGCATGTTGATGATGAGAGTGCCATGTCTTGAGTATCTCCCAATCTCATCTACACCCTGATCTGAATGCCCCTGGCTGCCCTTTCTCTCGGTTTTTCAGAAGAACATCAGCCCCCTTAAGGACAACATGTCATTGGTTTGTCTTCCAGAGATCCCTTAGCTGACTATCCTGATGTCGTTCCCATGCCTTTTCTTGGTCCTTCTTTGCTCTTCTGTGGAAAACCAGCATGCTGGATTGACAGTAGCCTACCACCAGGGAAGGTAAACCTCATATACCTCTGTGTACCTTTAAGCTCAAACTGAATCTTTCACCATAGCCTCGCCCAGGGGAGAGGGTTGGGCCTTCCTACCCTGAAGGTGACTTTGACAAAATCACAAGGTGATCGCGATGTCCTGTTTTAGTTTAGTCTGACCACATTTTCAGCCTCCATCCAAAAGTGACAACAGGACTAACTTGAACAAGAATGAAGTCAGAAGACTGTACTTTGGTCTTTAGAATCATAGCTTTAAGTCTGGAAGGGAACTTGGAGGTTATCCAGTCCAATCTGTTCATTTTCCAGATGAGGAAATCAAGAGGCAGAGAAGCTAAGTGATTTGTTTAAGGCCCCACAGCTAGTAATCGACAGAGCAGAGATTCCAATCCAGGTCTTTGGACTCCAACCCCAGGGCTCTTTCCAATGTCCCCCCCTCACTTCCCACCTGCTGCCCTTCTTACCTGCTGCTTTACCTCCAAGCAAGCATATAAGTCAACCCTCCCTAAATAGTATCTCTTTGAGGAAAAAGATTTCATAATATCCTCTGGGAGCTAAAGAACCTTCCCTGGTGGGAAGTTGTCATCAGCACTAACTTAAGGGCTCCCCGCGATGGTTTAGAATCTATTTTGTCTCTTCTTCTTGTCAGTGACAGCTCCTGGGGCAGTCACCATCAAGATTTCATTTTCACAGTCCCCACCGCTCCATTTGAGAGTAGAGTCCTCCACTGGCAGGGCAGACTGACTTTCCTTTCTTCATTTCCACAGAGGCAGATCAGCGTCATTGTCCCCCTTCTCTCCCATAGAGGCAGACCAGCATCGTTGTCCCTCTTCTCTCCAATATAGGTAGATTGGTATCAACGTCCCCCTTCTCTCCCACAGAGGCAGATCAGCATTGCTGTCCTCTTTCTCTCTCATAGAGGCAAATTGGCATTGCCGTGCGTTTGACCTTTGAGACCATGGAAGGGGAGAGAACATCTTCTGTCCTGACAGTTGTGAACAATGGCACTGCAGCTGTTTGGTATGACTGGAGGCGGCTCCAACAGCCCGACACCTTTGAAGAGTTTAAGGAGAGCAAACAGCAGCGGTTTTACTTCAACACCAAGGAGGGTATGTAAGAGAAAATGACCTTGGCCTTCCTGGCCCGGACGGGTGCTGACCTCAGGCACATCCCTGAAAGAGACCAAGGTGTAATCATTGCCCAGCTTCCCTGAATCTGATCTCTCTGTCCCCACCTAAGCTTTGTTTGAGAGAGAATCTGCAGGAACGGAGACCAGATGAAAGCAGACTTGGTATGGAGAGACTGGGCTTAAATCTTGAAGTGAGATGGCCCCTTCCTGCCGCACACACACACGCACACACACACACACACACACACACACACACACACACACACACTTCTGAGATGTGGAGGGGGGTGCTAGATCTTGGGGTACAGCTTCTGGGCTCAGCTAAGCTGGACTTGGGGAAGACTCGGAGTCCCTGTCCTGTTCAGGTGTGATTCTTCCTGGAGAAACGAAGGAGTACATCTTCTTCTTCAAGTCTTCAAACTCAGGAATCTTCAGGGAGAGCTGGGAGTTTGGAACCCACCCCAAACTGTTAGGGGGAGCTCTGCTGCAGGTCACTCTGCGGGCTGTTGCCCTGAGCCAAGACGTTTTGAAGGAAGAAAGAAAGTCACTGGAGGTAAGGGACCTGGGAGTTTGGCAGCTGCAGAGGTTGGATAGATTACCCTCATGTCCTTCCTGGCGGGTGTTCATGGTGATCCTATTACCCCCAGCCCATAGGGGTGAGTTACTGATCTTCGCAAACAAGCAGCAACTTTCATGTAACAGAAAATTCCTTTTGCCCCAGGTCACAAGGTCGTAAGTGTCAGTGGTGGGGTTTGAACTCAGGTCCTTCAGCCCCAGGGCCAGGGCTCTTTCTTTGTGCTGCCAGACAAAGGATATTTTTCAACCTTAACATGTGAAGTATTATAGCCTGTTATACTCTGAAGAAAGTGAGGCTGGGCTTGAAAGAATAAGAAAAAACAAAGAATTGAATTACCATGGAAGATATTAACTATGATGCTCTTGCCATGCTGGGTCTCCTGACATTCATGCTATTGGGCATGTTATTTCTAGCTGGTTGGTGGAAAGGACTGAAGGATGTTCACCAATCTCTTCCCAAGTCTGCAGATTTTCATCAGCCTCCCTCTCCTACGCATTGGGAACTCCCAGTGAAGGGGATGGCCATGTGTATCGGCAGGGAGAATAGCAGGTCTCTCCTGTAATAAAAGCTAGCATTCAAATGATGCTTTAAGGTTTTTTTAATTTGTTTTGTCTTCAGGTTTACAAAGCACTTTCCATGTGTTATCTTCTTTGATCTCTACTTTTCAGGGCTGCTTGGGAATACCTAATAGATTTTTGCATCCAGCGGTGGGAGACTGTGGAGGGAAGGGACAGGGTTGTGTCAGTGGGAATTTTTCCTCCACCGAGCATCCGCCCTCGTATGGTTTGTGAAAGGTCTGGAAGACAGACAGACAAGCAGCAGAAGCCTGAGCGCCAGTGCTCCTCCTTCCTTTCTTCAGGCTAAAATAGCTTCCCGAGAAGCTGTCGCCATCGTGGAGGACTTGCTGAATGAGCTGCTGAAAGGTATCTGGCCCCCAGAGCGAGCTGCATCCCCAGTGGATGCCTACCTCACTGAGGAAGATCTGTTCTGCTACAGGAACCCTCAGGTATGGGGCCTACCCTGCAGCCAGCTCCAGGTGTGCAAGTGCCAGGGAGATGGCGAGGTAGCAGGGGGCCCGGTGAGTCGACAGGGAGTTATAGGTGGGTCTGACTCTGGCTCCTGAGCTCTGACCCTTTCCTCTGTGTGTGTGTGTGTGTGTGTGTGTGTGTGTGTGTGTGTGTGTGCATTCTCCACTTCTCTTATAGCTACATTATCAGCATGAAGTGGTCCGAGAACTCCACAAACTATGGAATAAATACATGGCACCATCCCTGCCCACCCCCCCTGAAGAGGAAGAAATTTCACCAGGCCCCCGGGAGGAGGAAGTGATAGTCCCAAAGTTCCCAGTGGGTTCTGATAAGAGCTCTATAGGGGACAAGGCGAAAGGCTCTTTGGGGGAAAGCCGCCGGGGCTTGAAGAGGAGTCTTTCATCCAAGAATGAGTCCAGGATATCTCTCCTGTCCCAGAAGACTACCATATTCAAAGTGATTGAAAACCAGAAGGAACTAGAAGAGGAGGCTTTGGAGAGGCCTGAAGTGTCCCAGACAATGATTCCTGAGTACCCCAAGTGGAATCTTTGCGTGGATGATTTCAAAAAGGTATTGGCCTAGAAGCAGACAAGATGGGCACCAAAGGGGCTCAGGATAGTGTCAAGGTGGTGCTGTTACCCAGGGTCAGAGGCTTCCCAGACACATCCCAAGCCTCATGCATAGGCAGAGGGACAGTACCTGCTGTTGTGAATGACTGGGGAGACACATCCTCCAGCTGTTTCCTTCACAGGTGGGGTGGAAGGGCAGCCACGGGGGATGGAGACAGACATCATAGAACATCTGGGCTGGTCGAGACCAGAGAGAGCATGTGGGGAAGCTCCTCCATTTCTCAGAGGAAGAAACTAATCCCTAGAGAAGGGAACTGATGTCCAACATCCCACAGTAAATGGCAGATCCTGGGCCTGGAATTGGGCTCTCCTTACTCGCCATCCAGCATGCTGTGCATGTTCTCCTGGAACTGTTGGCTCGACTTGCCGAGCATTGGGTATTTCTGAGGACAGATTCCCAGGATGCCACCAAAGGTATAGACGTCATCAGCCTCCTGGTAGTGGTGGGATACCTCTGAGGCAGAACTGAGTATTCTTCCAAGAGCACTTCCATCTCTCCCCAGGGCCCAGATATAACCAAGCCACAGCAGGGGGGAGAGTCCCGAGTGGAATCTTCTTCCTTTGTGTGGAGCTGTTGACATTAAGTGTGTTCTGTGCCTTTATGAACCTCTTAAGGGTACATTGGGGGCCTCCAGGACTCAGGTAGAGTTGCTGTCCTTTCGGACCCCTTAGGCAATGTTGGATCTCCCGGAAGAGGAACAGAGAGAAGATGCACTTCTCCGACTCAACAAGGGAGTTCTGAAGCTGTGCTCAGAGCCCAGGCCACTGCAGTCAGACCTCCTGTACCAAATGTGGTATGTGCTCCCCGCCTCCCACCCCCTGTGTAAATCACCTCATTTTTTAAAGAAGCTTTATTGATGCCCTAGACATTCCCCAATATACCACTCCCTTATTGAACCCTTCCTTGTAGCAAAGAAAAACAGTTAAGCAAAACTGACCAATGAAATAAAAAGTGACTAGCAAAAGTATAAGCAGTATTCAGCTCTCATAGGCTTCCACTTCTCTGCCAAGGTGGGGGAGAGGGAGATAACTTTCATCATCTGTTCTCTGGGGCTAGGATTGATCACTGTCATTAACCCAAACCCAGCTGCCTTGGAGGATTGTTTTTTGCAACCTGCTGTAGAGGCTAGAGCCCTGCACTTGGAGTCCGGAGTTCAAATCACACCTTTGATGCATACTAGGTGACCCTGGGCAAGTCACTTGGTTTCTCCGACATTTGGTTTCCTTGTCTCTGAAATGAGAATAACACAAGTGGTACCTACCCCAAAGGGTTATTGTGAGGGCACCCTGTCAGAATTTAGGTGAATGTTAGTTATTATTGTTGTTTTCTCCTTGTTCTGCTTGCTTCTCTCTGCATCACTTCTCACAAATTTCCCCATGTTGAATTCTTATCTTCATTGCTTCTTAGAGCACAACAATATTCCATTGCATTAATACCATTTGTTCAACTGTGCATCAGTCAATGGCCACCCGCTTCACTTTGTTTTGGTTTGGTTTATTGCTACCGCAAAAAGGGCTGCTAAGAATATTTTTGTATATATTTCATTTATTCTTTGACATCTCCTCCGCCCCACCCTGGGGAAATGTGCTTCATCATATCTCATTTGTCTCTCCATGGGAAAATATCTCCTTCCCCTTTCTTCTCTGTTACAGAGAGCCCTCTCACCCTAGTTCTGGGGCAGGGGTCTAGCCCCTTTAACTTAGGTTGGCACACAGTGGCTCTAAACCATTTGAACTCTGTTGCTGGCTAGTATACTTCCTTCTGTGGTCCTCACCAATCTCTGGTGAGTGGTTACTGTAAGACAACATTCTAGGGCTTCTTCATTGTTTTTTGACTAAGAGAGGAACAGAAAGAGATTAAACTGACATGCCATGAGACAGGTTGTTCCATGGAGTGCTAGGTTTATTTCTAAGCTGAATATGAGCTGAGCTTTTTAAATGGCATATCTTTACTGGAGAACCTGACCAAATTCAGGTGGCAAAATTTTCTCCCAGCAGAGTTATTCATTGAAACAACTCTTTATAATTATTATACTTTAACCCCCAATTCTTGGGGTCATCAAAGCAGCCAACGTCTATCTTTTTCCTCCTCAAACATTCCCTTCTCAGGTAAGTTTGGGGAATGAGTTACAAGCCTACCCAATTGGGACAGCCCGTTGTGAGGGGTGTGGCTGTCTGAGAAAATGGGTAGCTAGGTGGTACAATGGTTAGAGTGCCTGACCTGGAGTCAGAAAGACCTGAGTTTGAATCTAGCCTCAGATACTTCCTAGCTGTATGACTCCGAGCAAATCACTTAACCCTGTTTGCCTCAGTTTCCTCATCTGTCAAGTGAGCTGGAGAAGGAAATCGCAAACCACTCTAGTATCTTTGCCAAGAAAACCTCAAATGGGGTCACAGAGAGTTAGACAAGACTGAAATGACTGAACATCAACAAAACTGAGAAAATGGTCCTCCAGGTCCTCATGTGAGAATGCGTAGTCCAAGGTCTGATCCTTTCCTCTGTGGCCAGAGGTAGTACAGGCCCTCTGAGAGCTAAAAGTCCATTTTCTGAAGATGCTGGGTGGTGAGGGTTAAATCAGACCTCTCCATCCTCATTCCAATGGTGCTGCCCCTTGCCTGGTCTATTGGGCCAGCATTAACGAGATTTCTACTCAAAACTGAGGTCCGTTGCACAATAGAGTTGTGGATGGAGTAGGATTTCTAACCACCTTCCCACGTGGGATAAGGGGGCCAACATCTTTGAATTGCCCAGTCTGTCAAGTTAGCTACAACGAACAGGTCCTGAGCACTGCTAGAAGGTAGTGCCCCAGACTCAGGAGTGGAGAAGGCTGCTACTCCTCCAAGGTCTCTCGCCCACACCCATTCTAGCCTCCTGAAGTATGAATTTATTTGTTCTCTAGTTTCCAGCTGTGGCGTGACGTAGTAGAGGGTCTGGTGGGCCATTCCATGTGGCTGAAGTGTCTGTTAGGCCTGCCTGAGAAGGACAGTGTTTATGTAGAGGTCCCAGAGGCACAAGGTAAGATATGATTAGCACCATAGTGTCACTCAGTCTTGCCCTACTTCGTTATATAGGAACAGAAGGAGACGCTGGATCCCCAGGATTTTTGTACCCTCTGTAGCGAATCCCAGTTGGGTTTAGCAGATAAATCTGGTCTAAAGCAGTTCACCTTCTGCCATCTGCCTCCTGGGGGGTACTGGCATTGCCCAGCTAGGAGGGACCCTAGAACTCTTCTAATCTGACTCTCTCATTTTACAGAGAAAAGAAGATGAGGGAGGAGATGGGCCTGCAGTTCAGGAAAGCTAGTTAGTGCTAACATGCTTTCCGGTCTCCTTTGTGGATTTTTGTTGTTGCTCAGTCATTTCAGCCCTGTCTGACTCTCTGGGACCCTTGTGGGGCTTTTCTTGGCAAAGATACTGAAGTAGTTTGTCATTTCCTTCCCTGGTTCATTTTACAGATGAGAAAACCAAGGCAATCAGGGTGAAGTGACTTGCCCAAGGTCACACAGCTAGTAAATGTCTGACGTCAGATGTGAACTCAGGACGATGAGTCTTCCTGACTCCAGGTCAAGCACTCTATTCACGCACTACCTAGCTGTCTTGTGGGACCACAAGCCAAAAAGAATGTTGCTTGAGTGGGGTGGAGGAGGGGAAAGTAGTTATCTCAATCCAGTTCAAGCCCCCAGGTTAATTACTTATGCTGTTAGAATCCTCCCTGGTGGCTAAATGTAGGCTATGGAGGTCCACCAAGGTTCTCCTTTTTAAGAACTACTTCTGGGGGGCAGCTAGATGGTGCAGTGGATAGAGCACCAGCCTTGAAGTTAGGAGGACCTGAGTTCAAATGTGGCCTCAGACACTTACTAGCTGTATGATCTTGGGCAAGTCACTTAAACCTGATTGCCTCCCCCTCTCCCTGAAAAGCTAATTGATCCTGTGGCTCAACTAGGTAGGGAAAGGAGGAGGGATAGACTCAGAAAAGAAGGTGATATACAAACAAAAGTCATCAGTAGACATTTTTAAAAATAATCCTTATTTGGAACAAACTTGAGGCATTTTGCAGATCAGTGCTGCAGATGTCTTTTATCCGGCTTCTTTACAGCAGAAATCCTGTGCCCCTAATCAGGAAATACCCTTCAGCTTTAGAGCCAGTGGCCCCCTGGGGAATTGTGTGGAGGAGCAGAAGGGTGTCACAGGAATATTTCCTCTTTAGTTGAAGCAAAACCATCTGGGAGAATTGGAAAAGAAGAACGGAAAACTGCAGCCCTGGAAAGGAAGCAAGGCAGTGGGAGAGAAAAAGAGGAGAAGAAAGGGAGTGCAAAGTCACCAGGAAGAGAGGTGGGTCATAGAACTTCACAGAGCCTTTGGCCGGAGGGAGCAGACGGGCTGGGGAGGATGGCTGCCGGCTGTGCCTCACACAGTGGGCCTTCCCCCATCACCACCGCTGTTCTCAGAGAGGCTGCTGGGGATAAGCCCACCCTTTTTATTTATTTTCACAAAACGCTGGCTGCCTTTTCCAGGATCGCGCCAACAGCAAGAAGCACAAGGGAAGGGATGAGAAGAAATTATACAAATCTCCAAGTCAGGATTGGAAAGAAAAAATGTTTGTGGAACAATTACCTCTGGAGCATATAGCCTCCATCTTTGAACCAGTGGATCCGATAATCCAAGAGAAATATAATCAGCGACTTTACATTGAGGTGAGGCTGGCAGAGGCAGGCAGGACCTCCTCTCCCTGGCCTCTGCCTCTCTGCACCGTCTCCTCTTCCTCTGTTGTCTTTTTTTCTTTACATTTCCCACTGCCTTTCCAGGGTCTGCTTTCTCATGATAATCCCATTTCTTGGGAGACCACCATCATAAAGTTGGTTGAATTTCTCTAGAAAGTGAGGGTTTTTACAGCACGAGTGCGTGACTTATTTCAAAAGGGCCTACTCGAGATAGAGCCTCTTTTTTCTAACTGGAAAATCAGGGAGTGAGCTAGGACCTCTCCTACTCCCAAACTCCTCCAGGATTCAGCTAGATTCAGCAGGCATTTATAAAGTGTCCAGTATATACAAAGCTCTGTGCCATGCTCTAGGGATAAAAAAGCCACAAACACAAAACAGAGCTTGCATTTTGTTGGGAAGAAGTATAGGGGGGAAAATACATGCACATAGAAAATTACGTACAAAAAAACATGCACAAAGCTATTTCTGGGACAGGGTAGAGTGGGGAACACGTTTAATATGAAGGGCAGTTTGTTAACAATAGAAAGGAGGTTCCAGAGGGCACAATGGAAGGACAGGGTAGAGTGGGATAGAGGCATGGGAGAGATGGGGGCTGGCATGGAGCTAGGGAGTGGCAATGAGGGAAGAGGAGCTCTAGCCTTCGGGAGCCTCCTTCTCAGCATTGTTGGGGCTCTGAATGAAGCATGTGAGATCCTGGTCCTATGTGATAATCAAGGCAGAGGTTGGTGGAATCCCAGGGCTTGGCTGATAGAGGCATGTTTGTGGTATTTGCCATACTGTCCTCAGCCAATTCAGCTCTACCCCTTGGACTACTCCATTTGTTGAATAGATTATCTCTTTAGTGTTAGGAGAGGCTTAGAGAAGGTCTTGGATTCTGGATTGGGGACTGCTATCAAGAAGTTGAGTCCATGCAGGTTAAGTCCCTGGCCCTGCTTCTTGATCAAGGGAGGTGTTTTTTTTTTTGGTGAGGCAGTTGGAGTTAAGTGACTTGCCCAGGGTCACACAACTAGTAAGTGACAAGTGTCTGGTCTGAACTCAGGTCCTCCTGACTCTAGGGCCAGTGCTCTATCCACTGAGCCACCTAGCTGCCCCCAAGGGGGGAGCTTTCAACCAATTTTTGGATTTCATGGGGATGCCAAGTGACCCTCAGGGAAAAAGATTAGCAAGAAAGGCATGATACAAGCTGAGCATCAGTCAAGGATCCTCAGTGGGCAATGCTAGGTCAGCCTAGAGGTCACTGGTAAGTCTGGGGAGACAGTTTGTTACCTTTAATGTCAATGGGCTTTGATGTGTGTTCTTGTGAAGTAAAGGATAGTCCCCAGGTAACCTGAACTGAAAAAAACAAGTGTGCCCAGTGTTAGCATGGTTATGGGACAATAAGGGTGGGTGTGGGTATGTGTGGAAGGAGAGGGAGGAAGAGAGAGAGAGAGAAGAGTGGGAAGAAGGGGTAAAGAGACAAGAGGAGACAGAGAGAGAGAGAAAGGGAGAGAGAGATGGAAAACAAGAAGGGAGAGAAAGAAAGAAAAAGAAAAAGGAAGAGAAAAATGGAAAACATTCCAGCCAGGCACCTAGGTGGCACTGGGCATAAAGTGCTCAGTCTGGAATCAGGAAGGCCTGAGTTCAAATCTGGTCTCAGATACTAGCTAGCTGTGTGACCCTGGCTAGACAAGTTACTTAAGTCTTGTCTGCCTCAGTTCCCTTATCTGTAAAATGGGGCTAATAATAACACACCTACCTCGCAGAGTTGTCATGAGGATTACATGAGCTAATACATGTAAAGTGCTTAGCATAGCACCTAGCACCTAGTAGGTGCTTAATAAGTGCATATTCCCTTCCCTTGTTTCTCCTTTTATAGCCTTTCACTCTGTAGCCTCACTTTTGGAAAAATACCCCCAGGAAATTACCTGAGGGGAAAAAGCAGTAATTAGTACAAAGATGGTCATCATAATGCTGTCTGCAACAGTGACAAATAGAGAGTAAACATTTGTCCAACAATAAAGGGACAGTTGAGCAAACCGAGGGAACCCAGGTTTCTCTGACCAAGTCTGGTCCCGTCTACTGTGACTTGCATGTGCATGTGTGTGTGTTTGTGTGTATGTGCACACATGCGTGTACAGAGAGAGAAATGTTCATATGTATGGAATATTAATTAAATTGGTATGAGTGGGTCCTCTATCCATACATGAAAATGTGTATATGCAACTGTTAGTTTATATGTGTTATGCATTTAAAAGTAATGCTGTATTGAAATAAATTAGAGAACATTTAAATTCTAAACTAAGTACGAAATTTTAAAATAGGTGAAAATGGCAAAATACAAAACAATAATATACAGAATATTGCAACCCCATAAAAACTTACCTTCCTTAACAAAGAACAGAAGAGGATTTGGATGGATGGGGATAGAATTCATTAGGTTTTTGTCATCATTGATTTAATATGGAGCAAGCCAAGCTTATGATGTTTTGTTAAAAACAAACCAACCAACCAACTCAAAAAGGATCTTTTCACCTCCTCGATTCCTCCCGGGGTGGCTGTCCCTCCCTTTCTCAGCTCTATTTATTTCCCTTTCATTGGTGGCTTATGGGCTCCTGGGGAGAGACTTTGATATGTTCTGCTCTGTCTTTCAGGTCTATGGGCTGCTGGACTCCTTAGTGACCAAAATGATGCTGCTGTTTGATGAGGTTGACACCTGAATGGCAACCCAGCAGGAAACTCTTGAGCCTCTTGAACCTTTCTCTTTTTCTGCCTGACTCTGTCTCTGAGCAGCCTTCAGGGAAATAATAATAAATGTGTACGTTTCCACAATTCCCACTGCTTCTGCGCATCTCTCTAGATCTTGGAGGACCCAGGTCATTGGCAGGGTCCTTCCACATCTTCCACCACACTCAGATCTCTGTGGGCATCAGCTGGTACTTCCTTCCAGCCCAGGGCATCCTACGGCAAGAGGGGAATAATGGAGCAGGAGGAAATGACCTCAGGGGTGACAAGTAGAAGAACTAGTTGGTAGGGAACTGATTGGGACATTGATGGAAGTGACTTGAGAAGGAGTCACCCCTGTTTGGTCTCTTGTATTCTGTACCCTTCCTTCAGGCTTCCCAGGCCCATGCATCTCGAGGCTGGCTTTGTGAAGTTCCTCCTCTGCATCTTGTTGTCAAAAGCCAGCATCCGGGATGTCTGGGCAACGGAATGTGGTGGGCGTATCAAAAGTTACATTTACCTCACCTGACTATCTGCTTTGAGGCTGTTCTACATCAGTTGTGTGTGTGTGTGTAAAATGGGGAAAGGGGTATCTTTGTTAAGGCATATAATTAGTCCATCCTAATTAGGATAATTGGAACTGCAAACCATTTGGGGTAAATCATCCTAACCCATTCTCCTCAAACCCCAGGACCATATGCAGGCTTTGGTTATCATCTTTCTAGCTGTCCCCTTGTTCAGATTCCATATCAGATGCTTCCTAGCTATATGTCCCCAGCCAAGTCACTTGACCTCTCTGTGCCTCAGTTTCCTCAGCTGTAACATGAGGATAATAATAGCACCTACTTCTCAAGGCTGTTGTGGAGAATCAAATCAATTGGCATATGTAAAGTGCTTTGTAAATCTTGAAGTGCTATCTATATTAATGTTAACCATTGTTATTATTATTATTATCCTTATCATTATTATATGATATAATATGGAGTCCTAGATTCAAATCCTACTCCCCACTTACCTAGTTTCTCTGAATTTTAATTTTCCTCTGTATCAGATTTTATACATAATTTGTGTTCTGTCCCTCAAAAGGAAGAGATGAAATGTGGGTGCTACTTAGAGTCCTTTGAAAGAAAGGTGGTGCGTGATTCTCAAGCATCTATTGTAATCATTATTATCAGTAATAGTAATGATGATGATGATCATGATATCGTGGGCCTTGCTCCATAACGTATGAGCTGAAGCAGCAGCAGTGGCCCTAGGGGGATTTGGGCATTAGGTAGAGGTTTGGGGCTCAGACCATGAGTCTTATTTAGGGCAAGGGCAGGTCATAGGCAGGGAGGAGAGGAGAAACTATGACCTTAGTTCCAGGCTTCTGCCTTCTCACAGTGTTTAGTCACACGTGGTTTATGATGACAGTTTCATGAAGCGTTACCACTGTCATCTTTTATAGATGGGAAAATCAAGGTTAGGGCTGATAGGGATAAGGACTGGACCTGTGATTTTATTTAATATAGAGAACTTCCAGGTGAGGAAATTCCCTCTACCACTGCCAATCGGCACCTTCTCTGCAACTTATAGTCTTAGAGAACTGAACTCTGTCCAATGATAAGTGAATTATCCAGGTTGTTGTTCAGTCCTATCTGACTATGTGAACCTGTTTGGGGTTTTCTTGGCAGAGATACTGGAATGGTTTGCCGTTTCCTTCTCCAGCTCATTTTATTGTTTTGTTTTTTTGTTTTTTTAGTTTTTAGGCAATTGGGGTTAAGTGACTTGCCCAGGGTCACACAGCTAGAAAGTGTCAAGTGTTTGATCTGAGGCCGGATTTGAACTCAGGTCCTCCTGACTTCAGGGCCAGTGCCCTACCCACTGTGCTACCTAGCTGCCCCAAGCTCATTTTATAGATAAGAAAATTGAGGCAAACAGGGTTAAGTGACTTGCCCAGTGTACACGGCTAATAAGTGTCTGAGGTCACATTTGAACTCAGGAATATGAGTCTCCCTGATTCCAGGCCTGGCACTCTATCCACTGTGCTACCTAGCTGTAATTCTGAGGTAGAACTTAAGCCCAGGTCTGTCTATCCACTAGGCCATGAGCCTCTTTATCAAGCTTAGATAGCAAAACCTGGGGTCATAACTTGCAGCTCTGTCACTAGTAATACAAATTAGAGGCAGCTAGGTGGAGAAGGACCCGAGTTCAAATCCTACCTCAGACACTTACAAGCTATGTGACCCTGGGCAAATCACTTCAACCTCAATTTCCTCATCTGTAAAATGAGGATAATAATAGCCCCTACTTCCCTTCTTTCCCTCCTCCCTCCCTTCCCTCCTCCTTCCCTTCCTGCCTCCCTTCCTTTCTTCCTCCCTTCCTTCTTTCCTCTCTCCCTTTCTTCTTTCTTTCCTCCCTTCTTCCCTCCCTCTCTTCTTCCTTTCTTCCTTTCCTCCTTTCTTACTTTCTTTCCTCCCTCCTCCCCTCCATTTGTAAAGTAAGGATAATAATAGCACCTACCCACTGGAGTGGTTTTGTGGCTAAAAGGTTAATATTTGTAAAGCTCTTTGCCAGCCTTAAAGTGCTGTATAGATGGTAGCCAGCTGTTACCGAAGACCAAAACAGGAGGTGATGTGACATGGAAAATTGTCTGGCAGAATATAAGCTCCTTGAGGGTAGGGACCAACTCATTTTTGTCTATGCCTGGGGTTTACCATTATGCCATAAGCACTTAGTAGGTGTTTAATAAATGTTCATTGAATTTAACTGGTCCCTGGACTTCCCAAATTCCTTTGTCTTCCATTCCAGGTAGGTCTCTTTTAAAATATGAGGTCAGATTCAAAGGATGCTCTTTAAGTTTTCTGGGGGACACAGAATTTTAGATCCTCTGTCTCAGCCGAGGAGCGAAGGCAGGCAGCAGGAACTTAGCCTCAAAGTGTGATCCATTTTTTCTCCATACCAGCAGAGCTGGCCAGCCAAAAGGGGTCTGTGTTTGCATTTCCCTCAGCCACTTTGCCTAGGGAAGTGGCAAGCAAAAGGTTAATATGTCTGCCAGCAGTGGGCTAGCAATTAAACTGTGCCCAGGTCTGCACTGCTCTTTGGGACAGCAGGCTCTCAGAGAGCGTTGTGGCGCCTCGTGGGCAGGAAGGGGTTAATGAGCCCTGCTGATTCCTCCTGTGTCCTGTTACTGCTGAGGCGGACCTGCCCAGCCAGCTGAGCAACTTTCTCTTCGGGTACAGGAGGCAGAGCTGCTCCCCAGTTTCCGATGTCTCGGGACCCCTGTTCACTTTCTGGTATGGAGGGATCTGCCCCTTCTGGGCAGCGTGGTTTGCTGGAGGGCAGTATTTGTTGGATCTGAAGACACTGGGGCTGTCCTGTTCCCAACCTGCTGGGACTGGCAGGTCACTGCAGAGCCTGGGCTCTGGCTCCTGGGCTGAGCTAAGCCTCCTGACGCTGCCGCTGCCGCCACCCTAGCTGCTGCTCGTAGAAGGAGGCTGCACCAAAGGTAAGTGCTGCTGTGTCTCCCTTTGGAGGGTTCAGGGGAGAGGGAGAGGTCTGGGAGAGATGCCCCTAAGCCCAGAACTGAGCCCCTGATGTTAACCTTCCCACAAATGGGTGAGGGGAAAGCAGGATATAAACACATTTCAAACTGTAGCTAGTCCTTACTGACCTGGCAGGGCTAGGGCTTGGGGCTCAGGGCCAAAGTCCCAAGATGGAATGACTGAGGCAGAAGGCTGGCTATGAGGGAATCCCATCACCAGAAGCCCCAGTGCTGTGGGTACAGCTCAGAAGCTTCTTCATGTTGCTTGGTTCACATTCTGCTCACCCAGCCCCTAATAATGTATTTCTAAGACACTCAAACAGCAGAACCTCCCCATCCCTCCTTCTGTGGTGTAGAAAGCTAATCAGAGCTGTGACCTTTCTTACCCCCCATCATATCATTTTCACTGATCTGCCATTAGCTGAGCCTGGTACTCAGTAGGTGTTTAACTAATACTGATTGATTGATTCGTGGTCAAACTGAGAAACCACTCATAGGGATCTGGGAGGCCAAAAGGCCTAATCCTGAATGTGTGGCTCAGATGGGCCTGGGCCACACACTTCAGAAAGCTCAAGGTCAACCTGGAACAGTGGGGTGGGTTGTTTTTTTGTTTTGCTTTTCTTTTTCATTCTTATCCCCCCTGCCCCCACTCTCAGGCTCTTCCTGGTTACCTTCTGACCTTGGGGAGATTTTGGTAGAATCCCTGCTCCCCTGGGGGAGTGAGGAATGATAGCCCCCCCCCCCAAACCAGTCTCTCCTTTTTCCTTCCAGTTCTTGGACAGCAGGGGGAGAAATCCAGTATGTTTCGTCTCTTACCTCCCCACACCATCCACATCTCCTCTCCTCTGGACACTTCCCCGCCTTACCCCAACACGTCCCTGGCCGTCTCCCATTCTGCTAGTGGCTTGTGCGTGCCCATTCTCACCCTGTACCCTGGACTCATTCTCCCACTCTCGTGCCCTCCTCCACCCCATCTGAGCCAAGAAGCCTGGGTGCTGGGTTGTGTCCTCTCCACCTGACAAGCCCTGGCTCAAGGTCACTGCAGTAATTCCATACAAGACTGGCTGGTGCTGCTGCTGCCGCCTTATCGGCTGCCAGGTTTCTATTTCACTCCCCTTTATTCCTGGGCATATTGTGTTCGATAAAACTCTTTGCTTTTAACACTACTGGCAGCACTCCCAGCCTTCTTATCCCTCCCTCCTTCCCTCCCTCCTCCCTCCCTTCATCTCTCTGTCTCATTTTTTTTCTCTCTGCTGCACTGGCATCCTTTCTTCCCCTATAATACTGACCCCTTTAAACTTCTCAGAAGTTGAAGAATATGAGGAATGCACTCAGATATCCTTCCACCTAAGTTCCCTTCCTTTTCCCCAGTAGAGACTGATGGAGACAGTATCTCTTTCATATACACACTGCCCCCATCTTCTGGGTAGGGCTTCTCCTTTGGGGGGAACCTGGGAAAGATCCACCTGGCCTCTGAGGCCAGCTTTCTCCTCCCGAGGTTGGGCAGGCATCATATTGGAATTTCCTGAGCTACACTGGGAGAAAGAAAAGTCCCCTAAGTCCGGTCTGGGCTTGCTCCCTCCCCGTGCATGATGGCACAGTGCCTGGGGCAAGAAGGTGAGCATGGCCCTGCCACAGGCTGGGCTTCTTTGTGGAGTTATGATGCCCAACTGGCTTGACTGGTTTTCATCGATGGCCCTCAGCAGTTGCGTGCATTTTGGGGGCGGGTTTTGGTATGAAATTTTTCCCCATATTTATTCCAACATCCCATCCGCCCAGCTGGGAGGTGAGGACAGGCTGCTTCTGAGTCACCCACAGTTGGGGGAGGGAGAGAATAGGACAAGTTGTAGCAGCTGAGCTTCCCCTCAGAAGCCATCCCCCCGTGCTTCCCTCCCCAAGGACACAGCTCCTGCTCCAACAGTCCAGTGTCTATCTACCCCTGTCAGTGGCTGGTCGGGGTCAGGAAGAGGTGGATGTGAACTCAGTGGAATTCTCCTGGAACCCCAAGGTCAGGTCTGGGGATCCCAGGGAACTCTGCAGGAGGCTGGAGAGGAGAAGGTAAGAGTGGAGGTGGTGGAAGTCGGGAGTGAGGGAGCAGGCATAGAGGGGGGTCAGTGCTGGGGAAAACCCAGGCAGATCCTGGAGTTGCCCGCCTTCTGGACCTGTAGGAAGGCTTCTGGAGGACCAGCTATGACTATAATCAGGGATGTTTTCATGATGATGTGGTTCAGATAGGAGACTGAGCTCAACCTATTGGAGCTTGAGGAGATCCTGTGGGAAAGGTCCCTATTAACCATCACAGCCCCAGAATAGCCTCCTTGGGGTAGTCCCTGTATCCTACTTTGGGAGCCACAGTGGAAGTATCCCAGCCAGAGTGAGTGTGTGTGTGTGTGTGTGTGTGTGTGTGTGTGTGTGTGTGTGTGTGTGTGTGTGTTGGAAGAAGGGTGAGGAGGAGATTATCCACATTTTATAATGGAAGGGACTGGATTTGAAATCCCAGGACCTGGGTTTGAATCCCAGCTCTCTGTATTACTTTGGTAAATTATCTTCCCCCCTCCCCCTGTGGGCCTCATTTTCTTTATCTGTTAAATCAAGGGGTGGGGTAGTTGGACCGGATGGCCTCTAAAGTCCTTTCCAGCTCTAAATCCCGTGAGAATAGTTTCCTCTTGGTTCTAATGCCAAGAGGACCACATCGGGATGTGGCTGGGGCTAGAGCTCTATATTCTCTCAATTGGGTCCAGGCTACCCTCTCTCAGTCTAGTACTTTGGGAATGCATAAAATAAAATATACAGGGTTACAAATATTAGTGAAAATGAAAATGTGATTTTTCCCCCCCAAATGCTTAGACTCCAGGTTAAGAACCCTCGGACTAGAGGATCGAGTGTATCCAAGATTATTCATCAACAGACATCAGGGTTTAGTTAGAAAACTTGTTTAGCACTTACCTGTATGTCGTTAGGCAAGTCATTTTGCTTCTCAGGATGTCCATCTGTAAAATGAGAGGTTAGACCTGATGACACCTAAGGTCCCTTCCAGCCCTATCGTCTGTGATCCTCCACTTATTTTCTAGTGTGAGAGAGGCAGTGAGGTGTAGAAGGTGCAATGCCCTGGAAGTTAAGAGAATTCAGTTTCAGTCCTAGCTCTGTTGCTGACCAGCTGGGTGACCTTGGCCAAGCTCTTTCCCCTTTCTGGGCCTCAGTTTCTTCATCTTTAAAATGAGCAGGTTGGACTAGATCCCTTCTGACCCTAATGATCTGTGACTGTGAAGGGTTTACTTTGTGCCCGGCCCTATACAAAGACCAAAAAGGAATACCAATGGCGCTGAGCCTGCTTTTAAGGAGATGATGGTTTCTTGGGGCTATAGGGTGGGGTGGGGAGTGGAGGGCAACCAGACCAACATAATGAAGCAACCAGAGAATAATTACATGCTGACCTGTCTAGGTGCCCAAGATAAGGACTGAAGGAGTTCAGAGAAGGGAGAGGTCAGTGGAGCTGAGGTCGTCAGGGGAGGCTTCGTGGAATGAGATTTGAGCTGGATCTTGGAGGATGAGTGGGATTTGGAAAAAGGAAGAGAAGGAGGGAGAGACTTGGAGGGGAGGTGGGGGTAGGGGTGGGAGGGCTCTGGAATGAGGACTATTTCCAAGTTAAGTACTCCCTTTGTGCTGAGAAAAAAAAGGCAATAATCAACCATTACATTTAGCTAGCTCTGATGTAGTTGGAATACAGTAATTGAAGCCAGAAACCTGGGTTCAAGTTACTGGGCAGCTAGGTGACGCAGTGGATAGAGCACTGGCTCTGGAGTCAGACAGGCCTGTGTTCAAATTCTGCCTCAGATACTTGTTAGCTGTGTGACCCTGAGCAAGTCACTTAATTCCTATTGCCTTGCCCCCCATCCAAAAAAAAAAAGTAGTTGTAGATAAAAACTCACCAGGGGCCTGGGGTGTTGTGTCTAGAGTTCTGACCATCAAGTTTCCCACTTTTTTCAGATCCATGAAGAACCCTCCACAGCAACGGTCCCTTTCCTACTGAGACCAACATTCCCTGTCCACGGATTTCTTGGGGTCAGAGCCTGTGAACATTAACCTCTTGCCCTCAGTGCCTCCTTTCTCACTGGGGGAGGGGACTCTCATCCCCAGTGCCCCCAGCCATGACAACCTCAGCTCTGAGACGGCAGGTAAAGAATATTGTGCACAATTATTCAGAAGCAGAAATTAAGGTACGTGAAGCAACCAGCAATGATCCCTGGGGCCCACCAAGCTCCCTCATGTCAGAGATCGCTGACTTGACTTTTAATACCGTGGCCTTTGCTGAGGTCATGGGCATGATCTGGAGGCGGCTCAATGATAGTGGAAAGAACTGGCGCCATGTATACAAGGCTCTGACCCTGTTGGACTATTTGCTGAAGACTGGCTCTGATAAAGTGGCCCACCAGTGTCGAGAAAACCTCTACACCATTCAGACCCTCAAGGACTTCCAGTATGTGGATCGAGATGGCAAGGATCAGGGCATCAATGTTCGAGAGAAGGTCAAGCAGGTGATGGGGCTGCTCAAGGATGAGGAGCGATTGAAGCAGGAAAGGACCCATGCTCTCAAGACGAAGGAACGCATGGCTCTAGAGGGCTCTGGCATTGGCAGCGGGCAGTTAAGCTATGGTCGCCGGTCCTCCCATTATGGGGACGAGTTCAGCCGGACCAGAGGATCCCCTTCTTCCTACAACTGTGAGTGAGGGGTCAGGCTCGACAAGAAGGTAGGGTGGGGAGGGGGGAACCTTGGAATGAAGGTTTTGTTCAGGTCAAGGCCTCTACTGGGGGAAGAAAAATAATATGACAATAAAGCCAGCTACATGAACAATTAGTTGTGTCCCAGGGGATGAATGCAGCAGCAATAATCCACAGCTGGCTTATACCCTGCTTCCTACAGTCCCACACAAGAGCAGGCTGTCACTTAACTAATTAATTAACCAGGAAGGGACTATGTTATGTAATCTTTCTGTCAGGTGGCACTCTGCTCCAGCCATGGACCCAGGGAGAGAGGGGAGTTGGTTTTTCCAGTTTATATGAGAGACCTCTTTCTCAACTTCTTGGCTAGACAGGTTTATTCACTCTTGGTAACTGTTTTTCAAAATTCAGTCTAGGAGAAAAGAAAATGGAATATTACTCTGAATTGTGAGAATTATGGGGTCTCTATCCCTTGTCTTCAAGATTTCCTTCAATTGGCCTAAACCTCTATATGTAAATTACCCAAGCAGTCAACACTGTGCTCACATGGTTTCTTTAAACATAGTCAAGTAGCCAGACATGGTGGTATACATCTGGAGGCAGAGGCTGGTGGATTGCTTGAGCTTGGGAGTTCTGAGCTGTAGTAGAGTTAAAACCAGTGGTGTGCCTGCACTGTCTGGTCCACATGTGATAGACCCCTGGGAGCAGGCCCTACCAGGCTATCAAAGCAGGAGCAAAATGGCCCAGGTTAGAAACAGAGCAAGTCAGAACTGTGATGATCAACATTGGGATCAACCATCCCCTTCCAGCCTGGGCAAGTTAGGGAGACCCAATTTTAAAAATAACAGCAATAGTAAAGTAACTCATGAAGCAACTACCAAGTGCCCCCACTCATAGATCACTTCACCCATTCATGTTCCCCTTGTACAAACATCCTCCCAGCTTGTAGATTCTAGGAAAGGGAAGGGATTTCATGTTTAGATCCCACCGGCATTGACTCTGCCCAACCATGGAGAATTGGGAAAGCACTGCGTAAGTCTGGGTCTAGTGTCCTGTCCTGATCTCACCAACATCTACAATGTCATGGTAGTGCCAAGCCATTTTCTTCCCCTGGTCACCAGTCTGCCTTGTCACATCTCTACCCACGGTCTCCATCCCGGAGCCTCAGCTGTCATGGCAGCGTTCCAGGACCTAGCCCAACTCTGTTTCTAGCACGCCCAGCTTGAGAGGCAGCAGCTTAGTGGTGACAGAAGGCAATAGTGAGCAGGTACTGGTGTCAGCCACCTGTCCCACCAGCAGCTCTTAATTTTTGTTTCTCTGTTGTCAGCTGCATGGAAGGTGGGGGAGGAAGGGGAGAAGAAAAGGCTGACTAGAAGTCTCTTTCAAGGGCAGAAAAAGAGGAAATGGGAATATTGGGATCTGTGTACCTGCATACAACTCTTTCCATTCCCAGGTGTCTCACTAATCTATTTCTCTTTTCTGTGAGTTCTGGGGCTCCCTGTAGCTCTCCAGTGGGTCGAAATGTCAGTGTAAAAACATCCATTACAGGGGGAGGTAGGTGTTGCAGTGGATAGAGCACCGGCCCTGGAGTCAGGAGGACCTGAGTTCAAATCCGGCTTCAGACATATAACACTCACTAGCTTGTGTGCCTCTGGGCAAGTCACTTAACCCCAATTGCCCTCACCAAAAAACAAAACAAAACACAAACACAAACAAAAAAAATCCATTACAAATAATAATCACATATAACAGAGAGAGTCTTTGGAGTCAGCAAGAACTGGGTTCGAGTTTTATCTCTGACATATATTAGCTATATGACCATAGACAACTCCTTAAGACAAAAAGTTGCAGGTGAGTTGCTCAACTGAATTCTTGGAGAAAATAGCAATGAAATCACAGGTTAGATGTAATTACACATACCTGTGGTATAGTATAGAGAACATAGTACGTGGAGTTTAAAAAAAAAGACCTGTAGTTGAGTCCCAGATCTTATACTAGTTTTATAATCTTTGGGTACCTCATTCAACTTCTCTGAACCTCAGTTTCTTCATCTGTAAAATGAGGATAATAATACTTATACTATGGCTTGGGCAGTTAAGTGAAAAGTACTTTGTAAGCCCCGAAGTGTTGTAGTTGTTATTATCCATCATTTTGTGGTGCACACAGCAGGTGCTTAATAAATATTTGTTGAATGGAATCAAGGTATTTTCATCAGTCAGTCATCAAGCATTTAGACTGTGCCAGACCGTATGCTTGGCTCTAGGTAGACAAAGACAGAAGTGATATAGTCCCTGCCCTCAAGGAGCTTAAATCCTAATGTGGGATGAACCAAAACCATACGGATAAAGCAGATAAAGGGTCACCTTGAGTGGAAGAGTCCTGGGGGTGGAGGGAGAAAGAATCAGGAAAGACTATACACAAGTGGAGGTACTTAAGGTGAGATAGAAACAGCAAGATTTGGCAACTCGCTGGATGTGTGGGGTGAGTGAAAGTGAGGAGTTGAGGGTAATATCAAGGTTGTGAACATGGGTGACTAGAAAGTTGGGAAAGTCATGAGGGTGGATTAGGGGGATATGTTGTGTTTGAGCCTATGGGACACACAGAAATATCTGGCAGGTAATTGGTAATGTAGGACTGCAGCTCAGGAGAGAGAGACTAGGGCTGGATATAGAGATTTGGGAATGATCCAGATGAAGATAATAATTAAACCTGGGGTTGCTGATGAGGTCATCTAGTGAGAAAATATTAGAGAGAAGAGAGATGGCCCAGGATGGAGCCTTAGGGTATATCCCCCTTAAGGGGTCATGATGTAGTTGAAGAGCCAGCAAAAGAAACTGAGGAGAAGTGGACCTACAGTAAGGTAGGAGAACTAAGTAAGAGCAGATCACAGACCCCAGAGAGGCAAGTATCCAAGAAGAGAGGGAGGTTAACAGTGTCAAATGCCGCAGAGAGGTTGAGAAGGATGAGGATTAAAAGTAGGACATTAGATTTGACACTTAAGAGGTTATTGGTCACCTTGGAGAGAGAGCAGCTCCCCTTGGGTGACAAGTTTGGAAGTCAGATTGCAGAGGATTTAGAAGAGAGTCAGAAGATGAAGTATAGATGACCAGTATGTATGCAGCTTTTTCTTTAAAAAATAGTATTTTCAAATACATAAAGAGACAGTTTTTAGCATTCACTTTTTCTTTTCAGCCAAAGACAAGGCTTATTAGAACATTGATTGGGGGTGGGTGAGATTTAAAGGATCTGCCATATTGGCCAGACTCTTAAGGAATCTAAGCATTTGTATCGCTAATGTACTCGGGCCAGATCTTAAGAATCTGAGCCTAACATTCATTTTTTAATAAAATTTTGAGTTCTATGTTTTCTTCCTCCCTCTCTGACCTCACTCCTCCCTAGGATGGTAAGCAACTTGATATAGATTATATATGTATATGCAAAGGAGTTTGGCTGAGAAAGGGAGGAAGGATATAGGACAATACCTGGTGAACAGAGTAGGACCTAGTGAAGGTTTTTGTTTTTTTTAAAAGATGGACTGACGATCATGTTTGTAGGCAGCAGGGAGGAACCAGTGTATAAGGAGAGAGTGCAGATCAAAAAAGGGGAATGATAGTAAAGTCAATATGCTAGAAGAGATGAGAGGGAATGGGATTGAGGGTACATATTAAAGGATTCTTAGTGACTGTGTGACCCTGGGCAAGTCACTTAACCCTATTTGCCTCAGTTTCCTCATCTGTAAAATGAGTTGGAGAAGGAAATGGCAAACCACTCCAGTATTTCTGCCAAGAAAACCCCAAAGCAGGTCATGAGGGGTTAGACATGACTGAAACAACTGAACAACAACAACAATAAAAGAATTGGTAGTGGCAAGAAGGACTACCTCTGTCCCAGAAACTAAAGTAAACAAGGACATACTAGGGGGGTGGTGTCAAGGGGTTGTGAGATGAGGAGGAGAGGAATAAGAGGGAACTCTATTTTCTCAGTAAAGGATAAGGTGAAGTCCTCAGCTGAGAGTGTAAGAAGATGGAGTGGTGTGGAGTGGTGTAGAGTGCGACCGTGAGATGAGGTTTGGAATGGCTGTTGCAGTGATCACAGAGAACCAATTAGGGAGAAGTAAGTAAGATTGTCTTACTCCAGTGAAGGCTTATTTGAAATTAGATAACGTAGACTTATAGTGGATTCAGTTAGTACAGTTCTACATTATCTCCTTTAGTCCTCACAGCAATCTTGTGAAGGAGGAAGAAAAGGGTATTATCTTCCTCAACTCAGAAACTGACATCAGGGTAAGCCACCAGTTCATGTCCACATGGCTAGCGAGTGATAGTGTTAGGATTAGATCCCAGGTCTTCTGACTGCTAGTCTGATACTTTTCCTACTATGCCACCATGTCTTCCTGAAAGTAATAATTGTAATAATAATAAAAATAATAATTCATCAAGCATAAAGATATCCAAAAGGCTATAGCTGAAGATAGTAAGAGATTCACTGGCATCTTGAAGTTAAAGCTTAAATGGGAAGAATGTATTTGAAGCAATTAACAATTATTCAACATCAGTCTTAATGTACACTTTTGAAACTATAAAAATGGACCATAACAGATTTTTAAAATATCCCAACAAAAGCCCATTCTATATTAATGAAACCTGGGGTGCGACTTCCTAAGGCAGTTATTGAAAATGACACTTCCTCATAGAAAAAAAGGAGAAAGAAGATTGATAGACATCCTTAAAGCACATGAGAAATTGGTCAGAAACCTACAGAAATATTTTTGGAACAAGCAGATGTGATGTCACTGAGCAATATAGTAAAGGCTTCTAATGAATATTTACCACTGGATTTGTGGAATGCAACCAAAAGTGGTTTCCCTCCAGAAGAAGCCTATGAAGCACCTAAGGTCCAAGAATGGAAATATAAAGGCCCTTTATAAGCAACATCACCGTGAATCTGCCAACTACTTTCCGACAAAGACTCAAAGAAACATTAGAAAAGTGGCCGAGTGATAGGGATTAGTTTTTAGAAATGGATGGGTGGAGTGGTGTTAATTCAGAATGGCATCACTACTACTCCAGAAATTACAGTAGAGTTATACTTACGAAACATGATCAATATCACTCATGCAAGGAAATAGTCCCTGCCAACTGTAAAAAAAAAAATAGCACCTTTCAAGTATCTAGCAAGCCATGACCTGGTGACTAGAATAATGTTGAGAAAGCAGTGTAAGAGAAATGGCTGAGTCAGGCAGGCTTATTGTTAGAAATGAAAGGGTTTATTCTAGTGATTCAGGATCAGATCGTCACCACAAAAACTTACAGCAAGGTTACTCTTAAGGAGCCCAGATGTATTGGGCAATGCAGATTATATAATGCATTAACAGAAATGACAATGTATCAGTGAAGGTTGCAAAAGTATCATCTTCTGGGTACCTAGAAAGATACAGCGAGGAGACTAGAATTATACACTAAAAACTTACTTTTTTTTCCATTGTAAAGGGGGATTTGGTCCCCCTCCCCTCCCAGCTCAGCTGATATAATCACAGATGAAAAGGTGTTAACATCCAGCGATGCCTTTACAAAGTATGAGCACCTTTCTCTGAATGAAATGGAAGGGGCAACCTCATTGGATGAAGAAAGATGGACACACCCCTTGGTGACCCTTAAAAGATAATTTGTCACTTCAAGTGGAGGAAGAACTCAGCCCCTGAGAGGGAATCACTGGGGGCAAGGGGGGTGGGTCTTCCTCTCTCCCTCTCCCCTCTCATCTTCTACTAGCAGAACTACTAGCTAGGTGGCACAATGGATAGAGCACCCACCCTGGATGCATATGTATGCATATACATACATAATCTATATCAAGTTGCTTACCATCCTAGTTCATCGTGAGTTCAAATCCGGCCCCAGACATTTGACACTTACTAGCTGTGTGACCCTGGGCAAGTCACTTAACCCTACTGCCTAGCAAAAACAAACAACAACGACAAACAACAACAAGCCTTGAGGGAATCACCCCATCCAGCAGTTGGAGTCAGTTCAAGAAAAAAGGCTAAAAGTCATGCCTGCTAGGTACCCAGCCTGAGAATTGCAGTCCTGAGAGAGCAGAGTTTCTACCAAGACTGGGTGCCTATGGTTTCCAAAAGAACACAGCAGTACCACAGCTAAGGACTGTAGCCGCACCTAACGTTGGAAGAAGTAGAGAAGATTGTTGCCCAGGAAGAGCAAGCCCCAGATATCCACCTATGAGCAACCATGCCCCATGAGCAGCAAGTCCAGTCCAATACTGGTGCAGCCTACCCAACACAGAGGTGGGGCCCATCACAGAGCAGCATAAGGGTAGAGCAAGAAGCAGGAAGCCTTGAACCCCTGCACAAACTGACTTGGCTGCTTGGCTATGCAAATTTCCTACATGTGTGCCTTAACACCAGTGTTCTGGGCTCATCCTTCAAACAGATGCTGTGTATATTTGTGTGAAAGTGCTCCTGCTTACGGCAGGGAGGGGAGAGGAAGTTTTATAGCTATTCTTACTGTACACCACTTTTAAGTTAATTTTGTCTTCATTTCTATAAACAGAGTTAATTTTGCCTGTTAATGGGGAAATCACACCAGCTGGGGCTCATGAGTTAGAGTTTTAGATAAATGACTTCACAGAGATATACCCCTTGAACCCAAAGTGGCAGTGGTCCAGTGAGGACCAATTTGTGAGTTTGAGTGTAAGTTTAGGGGCATTCTACTTTTTTAACATTACAAATCTCCCTTCTACAAATTCATACTCTAAAAGAGAAAAGAATAAAATTATGTTGAGAAATCAACCAATAAACTATAGTGAACCTAGAGCATCTTAACAGACAGGATGGTTTCCCCCAACTCCTGGACCTAATGTTGATCCATAAAAACTAGAACGATGTTTTTAATGGATGTCATTATGTCATACTCATGCTGTCCAAACTATATGGAATGAAAAGCTTTTAAAACATAGAGATCTAGCTGAAGAAATTTAAACTATATGGGACCAGGATGAGGCATAGATCATCCCTGCCGTCCAATCTGTCACTGAAGTTGACCTGAAGATGCTTTCTACAGAGGATAAACTTATACCCCAATACTCTTATTCAATTATAAAAGGCAGTTACTTTATCCACCTGCCTAATTGTCTGCAGAACACTGAATGTAAAATAATAGCGGGCTAACAACTTTTCTCAATTTTTTTTCTACTGAAACTTCTTCCAAGAAAGATGATAACAACAACATTATAATAGAAGGCATCTATATAGTGCTTTCAATCCACTCTTGCCTTTGATTCCCATAGCAGCTGTCTGAGGTAGGTACATCTGTTGTTGTTCAGTCATTTTAGTCATATCAGACTCTTTGTAAGTTTGGGGTTTTCTTGGCAAAGATGATGGAGTGGTTTGCCATTTCCTCCTCCAGGTCATTTTATGGATGAGAAAACTGAGGCAAACAGGCTTAAGTGACTTGCCCAGGTTCACACAGCTAGTAAGTGTCTGAAGCCAGATTTGAACTCAGGAAGATAAATGAGTCTTCATGACTCCAGGCTCAGGGTTCTATCCACTACCCCACCTTGCTTGCTGCCCCAAGGTTGGTACTACCCGTGTTATTATCTCTATTTTACAAATGAGGAAAGTCAGACACAGAGATTAAGTGACCTGCCAGTGACCACACAGCTATTAAGTGTAGGAGGTGGGATTTGAACCCAGGTCTCACCTGACTTCAAGTCTGACACTGTGGAGTTTCCCTCACCTCCTCCAACTTAGACCTCCCTGTTTCAAGATGTACCCTAGACATTTTGAATATAACAAGGATTTGGGGAGTCTGAAACCTTTATTCCCCATTCCAGCTTCATCTTCGTCTCCTCGATTTACCTCTGACCTGGAGCAAGCTAGACCCCAGACAACAGGAGAGGAGGAGCTACAGCTGCAGCTGGCGCTGGCCATGAGCCGGGAGGAGGCAGAGAAGGTAATGTTATCATGGGATCAGCAGGATTTGATGGGTATGTGTCAGGGAAGGGGGTATAGACTTGGATGGCCCTTAGGCCATGAGGCTGATGCTCCGCCCTGAAAATGTAAGGCCAGCACCTCTCTGGCAATGCAGTCAGAAAGCACCAGCTTTATGAGCAGGGCCCAGCTTAGAGTCCTAAGGCCATGAGGCACCAGAAGGTGACTGTCACAGAAGGAGCCAGGTTAGGTCCATATGTTTTGTAGATTGGAGTAGCCCCAACCCCATGCTCCCAATCGCAAGCGTGCCCAGTGAGTGCCCATCTGCCTGATTCCTTCTGTTGTTGGACTCTCTGGTTTAGAGACTTTTCCTGAAGGAAAAGAGCTAGAGCCACTTTGAAGTGTTAAAGGGCTGAAGGATCCTGGTCCTCCCTAGCTTTTATTTGAACCACCCAAGGGCAGGGCCCTAGCAAGCCTGAGCTGGTTTGTGTCTGCAAGCTTGTCTCTGCCTGTCATCATGATCCTAAAGGACTCATGGGGGCAGGGGGGCAAACCTGTAGGGACAGAGGGAGGGGTATACTTGGGGTATACCAAGGGTGCCTTCTTGGGCTCTCTGGACATGGATATAGTGGGGCAAAGTGCCTTAGGGCACATCTCCTCCCTAAGAAGACCACAAGAGGAGACAACTCCAGCATCTTTTGTGGGACTCTTCCTCCTCATCCCCACCCCAAGGCTTTACATTCCCTTTGCAGATCCCAGTCAAGTACAGTGTGGAATGGCCTCTTTCCCAGGCTGAGCCACCCATGTTTACCCAGCAAGGGTTCAGATGCATTCTGTAGAAAAAAGAAGATTTAAGGGGTGGGAAGGGAGCATTTTGACACATAAAGCTTGCAAATGTCTGCAAAATAATGTGTGAATACACTTTTTTTCCCCCTTTCCATTAGCCTGGGGCTTGGGCAGTTGACTTCACCGAACTGTAGCCTAGCCTCTCCCTCTGTTCTCTTCCCTTTCCCAATTTCCTTCTGCCCTAATGCTACTTATCTCAAATCCCCTCTGCCACTCAAGGCTATTTCTCCTCTGTCATCCCTGTGCCCTGTTTCCCTTCACTGCCCATCTTGTTTCACTCCCCATCCAGGTTCCCTGGACACCATATTTCCTATCCTATCATCCATTTTCCCTTTTGTCCCATATCTCCTACCTTTCCTCCTGCCCCATATCTCATCCTGCCCCATCTTCCACCTTCTTCCAGCCCCATCTCCCACTTTCCTCCTGACCCCTATTTCACTCTGCCCCGTCTCTTTTGGTTCTCCTTCCCCAGCCCCATTTGTCCCCTACCACTGCCCTGTCCCCTTTCTGCTTTTTCCTCCCCTGTCTCCTACCCTCTGTCCTTCCTCTCTCTGCCCACCCCCTCCAGCCCCCTTGCCCAAGACTGAGAACTGAAAGGGTGGGGGAAGGTGAGCTGAGCTAAGCAGAGGAGTGCCCATTTCACTCTCTTCTCCTTCATCCCCAGCAGCCGGTCCCTCCAGCCTCCCACAGGGACGAGGATCTGCAGCTGCAGCTGGCATTGCGCCTGAGCCAGCAGGAGCATGAGAAGGTAGCGGAGCCCCCAGGTCCTACTCTGGAACTGGTGCTGGTGCTGGTGCTTCTGGGCACTAACAGGGCTCCTCTCGGTTTCACTTGGTGTCTCTCCAGCTCCTTCTCGCTCCTGCCTGGCTCCTTAACCACTTTGTTACCTAGCCTGGATTTTCCCCTGCTACCCTCCCTGCTCTCATCTCCCCACCCCCACCCCTGCTTTCTCTTCGTGTCTGCAGGCTCCTGGTGGATCCTCTGGGGAGCTGAGCGTTCTCCTTAGCCTAACATTGGATGCCCTGGGTTCTAGGGCCCTGGGTCCCAGGGTCCCCATGGCTCCCAAACTTAGCTGGTTGCTCCCCCTGCTCCACCACCAATCTGTCCCAACTGCAGGAGGTGAGGTCCTGGAGGGGAGATGACTCCCCCTTATCCAAAGGCGCTGGGGGCCATGGTCGCCGGGACCAGGACCCCGAAAGAGAGGAGGAAAAGGAAGGAGAGAAACTGAAAACCAGCCAGGTTTGTGAAGGGATGGAGGCCTATGGAGGGGGGGAAGCATGCTGGGAGGGGGAATTAAGGAATTGAGGGACAAGGGGATATAGCAGTCATGGGGGGAATGTAGAAGGGACCAGAAGGTTAGGTTAAGGGCAGTACCATCCTTCAGGTATGACAGAGTTGACTGCCCCAGGCTCCATCCAGGCTCTGGGGGTGCTGTATTAGCTATGTTCTAGTGGAGAGGACCCTCAGCTGACTGGACCCTAGTCATTGTGTAACCTTAGATACTGCCCAGCTCTGGGCCTCTTGATGTCTGCCACAGTAAAATGAGAAGGTTGGAGCTTCTCATGACCACTGAGCCCCATTCTAGATTTGGCATTTATGACCCTTGATATCTGTTATACTACTGGATTGGGTTGGTGACAATCAAGAAGAGAATAGGTGGAAAAAGAACTATCAGTCAGCTGGAGATTGGGGTGGGGGGGATTCTATACATACAAGTTAAGGCAATGTTGGGTTTCTGCTTACCTCACAACAACAACCCCTCTTCAAGTCTTCCTCTGGCTGAACTAGAACTTTTTGTGAATCTTTTCCCCTAGAGCCCATCTTTGATGCTGATTTCAACCAGATTCTTCCCTCATATAAAAATGTTAAAGTAAGGGGGTTCATGCTATGACTTTCCCTGAAGCCCCAAACCTGCCTAGAGATGTCCTGGGTGATCAGTAAGCATTTAAGTGTCTGTTGTGTGCTATGCCCTTGGGATACACAAACAAGAAAGGAAACAGTCCTTGCCCTCAAGAAGCTTACATTATATAAGGGCAACAACACACATAAATATTATATGTATATATAATATATATATATATATATATATATATATATATATATATATGTGTGTGTGTGTGTGTGTGTGTGTGTGTGTGTTTGTGAAAACTATAAGAAAATTCTGGGATAGCTAGGTGGTGCAGTGGATAGAGCACCAGCCCTGGCATCAGAAGGACCTACATTCAAATCTGGCCTCAGGTACTTACTAGCTGTGTGACCCTGGGCAAGTCACTTAACCCCAATTGCCTCCAAATATATATATGTGTGTGTATATACATACGTATACACTTACATACATATATACACATACACACATATAGATAAAATCTGTAATATGGAAAGGGAAGCACTAACAGCAGGGGGGGGGGAGGCAGAAAAGGCTTTGTGTAGGAGGTGGATTTTGAAGCAAATAAGATTCTAGAGTTGGAGGCAGTGCTTTCCAAATGTAGGGGATGGATGGAGAGCCTGTGTGAAGACATGGATGTTGGAGATGTATTACCACGTGCATAGCCCAACAAGAAGACTGGTTTGGCTAGACAGTAGAGAATGTAAAAGAGAATGATGCATAATGATGACTGGACATCTTAGAGTTGAGACTGGCTGTGTCACAGTGGAAAGAGCCCTGGATTTGTTAGGCAAGTCATTCCCCCTCTCTGGGCCTCAGTTTTCCTCCTTAGGAAACGAGGGGGTTAGACTAGATGATTTCTTCGAGCTCTAGGACCTATGACCTTAGGATCCTTCTGCTGACCATCCTGCCTTCCCCTGCTCATGGGAAGGGTGAGGATGGAAACAGAGAGGAGAGGACAGGAAGGGATTGGGAACTACTCATCCACCAGAAGGTACAGTAGAGATGTTTAATAAAATAGTAGAACTGAATGAATAAGAGAGGCTGAGATTCTGTTGCTCTGCCCCCAACTGGCGCCAAGAACTCCCACTCCCAGGGTGCTCAAATGTGTCTCTACTGTCCTTCTTTGTAGTCTTCCATCCTGGACCTTGCTGATATCTTTGGACCAGGACCAGCTCCACCTTCCACACACAGCTCTGCTGACCCATGGGATATCCCAGGTGGGGTGGTCAGATCCTGGGAGAGACACACTTACCCCTTCCCCCTGGAACCTAGAGATAATCTCTCTCTCCATAGCCAGTCTCTGGGTAGACCTTCCTCCATTTTCCTCTTTTAGCTCTCTATCTCTGTTTTCCTTTTCTTCCTTCCTCCCCCTCCTAGGGACCTTCCCTGGTAGAAATCTAAGTGATCAGAAGGGAGACGGAAGGCTCCAGATTTCCCACCTAGTGCCTCAGTTTCCCCATCCATGATTGGTTACCATGTCCTCTCTGATAAGGAAGGTGACCATGAGAGTAATGAGGGAAGGAGAAGGGATGAGATGTGTGATGGAGAGAAGTAACTGGAGGTGGGGATAGAAAATGATAATGCGTCATTGCTATTCTCATTTTAGGTCTCAGGTCAACTGTGGAGCCTGCCGGCTCCTCTTGGGGACCCTCTGCAGACCCTTGGTCTCCAGCCCCCTCTGGAGATCCTCTGTCCCGTAGCCAGCCTTGGGACTTGCCATCTATGCTCTCTTCTTCGGAACCCTGGAGAAGGACGCCTGGCCCCCCCCTTTCCATGGATCCCTGGGTGAAGGATTCTCCCCACCACAAACCCTCTGGCTCAGGAACAGACCCCTGGGGAGCTACCTTGGACACCCCCAGCACTCCCAGTAAGTGAAAGCCTGTTGTCCTCCTAAACCATCCAGTCTGAAGGTGGGAGGTGGGATGAGAGGGATTGTGACTCCTGGCTCCATCCCTGATGCCGGAGACTTGGCTCCTGGGGTTTAAATCTCTCTGCCTTCAATGAGTGAGGGGTCTCTAGGGCAAGGGATGGGAAGAGATGGTGTAGATTGAGTCCTCTACAGGACAGATGTTATTCTTGCCCCCATAAAGGAGAATACCTCATTCTTTTCTTGGGAGGGTGCAGACCCATTTGTCCTCTTCCTCCCTATCTGTCCATCTACCCCGTCCCCACAACAGCAGCTCTAGGTGGTTCAGCCTTTGACTTATTTGCCAAACTTCCAGAGTCAACAGAGGCCAGAGAGGGGTCTGAGAGTGCCCAGGCCCTCCCCTCCGCACGATCTGGCAGCCCTGGTAAGCTAAAGGAGAGCAGCTGGGTGTGTGTGGTGGTGGTGGTAATGAGAGGGTTCCAGGAAATGAAGGAATGGGATGGGGGGGACCAGGAGGGAGGGGAAGGTGAGGCACAGCTGATAGCAGTGGAGCCCTGATGGGTGTGGCCAGACAAGTTGGGTGAGAGACCCTGGTGGGCACCTTCCCTTGCCCAGAGCTCTGTTTGCTAGCAAACAGAACCCTGGACCTGGAAATCTCGGAGCCCCACCCTGATCCCCCTATCTCAGATACCCTATTTTCTGACACTCCCATCCCCACCCCTTATGGGAGGCATTGTGCTGTAGTGAAATGGGTTCTAGATTTAGAGTCAGAAGACTGGGGTTTAAATCAGGGCTCTGGCACTAAGCTTCAGTTTCCTTACCTATAAAATGGGGATAATAATAGCACCAGCCTCACAAGGCTGTTATGAAAATCAAATGAGATGATACATGTAAAGTGCTTTGCGAACTTTAAAGTGTCATATAAATGCTAGTTTTGATGCTGATGGAACAGCCAGATGGCTGAGTGGATAGAGTATGTGTTTATATATTGTATGTATGTATGTATGCATTCATGTACGTGTATGCAAAATATCAAAAAAATGTACGGCAGGTAGGTGGCTCAGTGGATGGAGCACTAACCTTGGAATCAGGAGGACTTAAGTTCAAATCTGGCCTAAGATACTTCCTAGCTGTGTGACCCTGGGCAAGTCACTTAACCCTATTTGCCTCAGTTCCTTATCTGTAAAATGAGTTGGAGAAGGAAATGGCAAACCACTCCAGTATCTCTGCCAAGAAAACCCCAAATGGGGTCAAGAAGAGTCAGTCATGACTGAAACGACTGAACAACTATGATGATGATGACGATGATGATGATGATGATGATGATGATGATGAGACAGGTCTCTTAAGCTCTCTTAGCCCCAGTTTCTTCATGTATAGACTAAAGGGATTGAACTAGAAGGTCTGAGGCCTCAACCAGGCCTAAATCCACGATGCTGCAGTTCTGCCTCCTCTTTCCCCCAGCATCTGAGCTCCCCCTACTTTTTTTTTTCTAGACCTAGACCTCTTTGGAGACCCTCTCCCTAGCTCCAAGCAGAATGGCACAAAGGAGTCAGATGCTTTTGACCTGGGAGGACTTGGTGGGGCATTGACTCAGGCAGGCAAAGACGGTCGAGCCTGCCAGACCCCTGAGTCCTTCCTGGGACCCTCAGCCTCCTCCTTGGTCAACCTGGATTCACTAGTGATGGCTCCACAGCCTACGAAGACAAGAAACCCATTCCTTTCAGGTAGAGAGATGATACTTCCTCCTCCCTTCCCCCCAACTTCCCACTCCAGTCATCTGTCACCCTCTTCCCCCCAGATCCATACTTTGAAATGTTGGCACCTGGGGGATGGGAGAAGTGGGGGCAAGGCAAGGACACTCCCCTGGAATTTGGCTGGTGGACAGAGGAAGGGCCTTCCAGGATGGCCAATATCACAGAGGTGGGGAGTAATTTACCTCAGGTGTGGCTGTCAAGGAAGTGGGGAAGAACTCAGCATCCTCTAAGTTTCAACACCCTGAGGAAATGCTCTAGTCACCTTACCCTAGTTACATCTCAGCTTTTCCCTTTACGCCCTTGGCAAATCAAAGTCTCCATTTCCAATGTGTTCATGGTCTCTGTGCCAGTATCACACACACACACACACACACACACACACACACACACACACACACCCCATTAAATCTAAGTCTTAGCCTCCAATTTCTCCACCTCAGACCTTAGCTGCTTGGCCTCTCAGTTTTCTGATCTGTTTTCTCTTCTCCAACAGGTCTCAGTGCCCCGTCCCCCACCAACCCATTCAGTTTGGGTGAGCAGTGCAAGCCAACTCTCAATCAGATGCGGACAGGGTCTCCAGGGCCCAATCTGGCCTCCTCAGTGCCTATGGGTGCTCCCGTAGGCTCAATGACCTACAGCACCTCTCTGCCCCTTCCACTCAGCAGTGTTCCATCAGGAATGACCCTTCCTGCCTCTGTCAGCGTCTTCCCTCAGGCTGGCACCTTCCCTCAGCTGCCTGGGACCTTGCCCCAGCCCCTGCTCCCAATGTCTGGTTCAGTGGGACCCCTGAATCCTTCTTCTCAGTCAGGCACCAATCCTTTCCTTTGAACTCTGCCCTCATCTGCTCAGCTCTCACTTCTGGCACCTTCTTCCCTCCTCTCTGGAAACAGTTTCCATGTCTGTTGGCCTTGCTTCTCTGCCTCTGTGCCCCGGTCAGCCGCTGGCAGCTGACCAGAGCTTTTCCCACCCCTTGCTTAAGGGGCTGGGACAATGGACAGGGGCACTGCCCCCATCCCACTTAGGTCAGTATGAATGTTGCCTGGATGCTTGGTTCCCTGTCCTGCCTCAGGAGTGAGAGAGGGTCTTGGGAGCTCAGGGAAAGGACATCACAGGAGCCAGCATCCCCCAGGTTTTGTCTGGGCTGGAGGAGTGGCTTTCCAGGCTCCAGCTATCCCTTGAAGGGGCTCGTGTATGTATGTATGTGTGGAGGGCTCCGACACCACAAGTACTGTAGTGCATAGCACAGAAGAAGCCTGGTGACCAGAAGCCTTTTGGAGCCATGGCAATGGTCCCAGAATAAATACCTGAACTAGCACGATAGAGCCGAGTTGTGCTTGTGACCTTCTTATGGTGGCGAGCAGTTCTGTTGTGAATGAAGGGAAGGAGGGGGCGAGGCAGGAGCATTCCTTCCTTGCATCCCTCTCCAGCCCCTATCTCCCAAAGCCCCTGGAGGGGAAGGGGAGGGGAATGGGATCCAAAACACAGAAGTCAGCTCTTGGGTTTGCGTAAACTGGACATGTCTCTCTCAGAAAGCTTGACCCAGAGAGACAGTTCCCCTCGGTTGGGTCTCCAGTTGTTCAGGGCCTGAACTTCACTCTCTAACTCATAGGGATTCTGAGAATTAAAAGAAACTTCAGATTATTAGGGGTAAAGACCTTGGGAGATGGATAGGCTGGAGACAGTGCAAGAAAGTAGAAGGCATTCTCCCTCATTCCAAGTAACCACGGGGGAGCTCGACACGGACGCCAGAAAACTTGAAGCGTTCCATGTGCTCATCACGTGAAGATTCTCCCCTTCAGAGAAGATGGCAATCTGTCCGTATCTTCTCCACTTGGGTGACTGTGGTCCACATCCTGCTGTAAATCCTCTGTTTATCCACTCAGTATGCTGGAGCATCGCCTCTAATTTTTAAAATAATTCATAGCTAGCTATTCAGCTACGTCATTCATTCAACAAGTGTTTATTAAGTGACTGCTCTGGGCCAGGCAGGTACTCTGCTAGTTACTGGGAATAATGCAAAGAAAAAAAAAAGCCTGACACATTCCCTGCTCTCAAGGAGTTTTCACCCTATGGGAGAAGGGGGTGAGGAAGTGGGGAGGGGGACAAATTGTACACAGATAAGTATTTACAGTATATACATATATACATATATATGTAATTTGGGGAGGGGAACAAGCTATACAGAGATAAGTAATTACAATATAGCTATATGTAATTTGGGGGGCAACAATGTGTATACAGATAAGTACTTACAGTACATTAACTGGTGAGAACGAAGTGCACACAGATTAATTACTATATATATATATATATATTATATATATGTAATTTGAAAGAGGAACAAGAGACGTAGATAAGTAACTACAATATAGCTATATATACATATACATGTAACTTTTGGGGAAACAAAGTATACACAGATTAATTACCATATTTATGTGTGTGTGTATATATATATATATATATTATATATATATATATATATATGTAATTTAGAGGGGAATAAAATGTCCACAGATAAGTAATTATATGTCTATATATACATATATGTAATTTAGCAAAGAACAAGGTATATACAGATAAGTAATTATAATATATCTATATATCATATGTATAATTTGAGGGGGAACAAAGTATACACAAATAAGTAATTACAATGTATGTATATATATACACACATATATGTATGTATGCATGTATGTATTTTGATGGGGGAGGGGAGGAATTAAGGATGGGCCTTGCATAGGAGATGACATAAGCTGGGCCTTGAGGGGAGTGAGGGATTCTAAGAGAGGGTGAGGAGGAGGGAGAGCATTCCAGGCATGGGGCCCAGCTTGCCCAAAGGTATGGCATTAGATGATGGAATTTTGTGTGTGAGAAATAATAGCAAGTCAGCCAGGTAGGGTGGTCTATAAAGTCGCCTGCATCCTTCCTTAGTCTGGTCTCTTGTGTGCTGCTTGTCACCATGTAGTCCTCGTTGAGTACCCATCACAACCTAGTTATACTCATTGTCTCTTGGTCCACCCACAGTTTGGATTCTTTGGCCATCATGCCATGTTCTAAGCTTCACAGCCACCCGGCATCACTAGCAACTGAACTGCCTAGGGTAATTTTCATAGCACGATTTTCCACACACGATCCAACCTACTCTCTTATTCAAATCTTGGCCCAGACTGCCATCCAGCTGCAGGGCTGTGTAAGATGTGTATCAGAATGAGCTAACTCAATGGCCTGTCCATCTGGTAGCATGGGTAGCATGCATCCTTTAGCCACACAAACCAGCAAAATACCAAGTGTGCTAAATGCTTTAGGAGTTCATAGATCCAGAACTGGAATGTGAAAAGTGATCTCATCCAACATCAGAGAGAATTTGAACTCAGGTCCCATGGCTCTACAGCCAGTGTTATTTCCACTGTACCAGGAAAGGGCACTAAGGGCAAGATTTCATGAAGGACAAAACAAAGAAAAAAAAAAGATTTCATGAAGGAAAGTGGACCCTGAGCTTGGCCATGAAGGGCAGGGATGCCTGACCCAAAGAATGCCATTAAAGGACTTAGGGGCAGGTTTCTAGCCAAGTGTCCCAGGGATCTCTCTTTGGCTCCATGTCCTTTTATCACAGATGTGGATGAATGCCTAGAAAGCCTGCTTATATGAAATCTGTAGATAATACCAAGTTGGCAATCATAGTTATCATGTAGAAGGAATCAGAATACAAAGAGAAGGTGACATTAAAATGATGAGCTCTATCTAAATAAGATGAAATTTAATATCTCTAGAGGGTTATTACCATCTTCTCATTGTAGTAACTGATAGGGTTTTAAAGTATGCAGAGGTTGCAACAGAGATCATTGGGCCCATATCTGCTGGACTGGGGCACTCCCAATACTGCTGGACATATGCTCCATTCTCACAGATGAGGAGGCTGAGGCTCAGAGAAAATTCAATCATTTGCTCATTGTCACATAGCTTGTCAGTGCCAGAGGCTGAATTTAAACCCAGACTCCTAGTCCAGAACTCTAACCACTATTCTGTGATGAGATGAATGTTACGTCTTGTGTGTGTGTGTGTGTGTGTGTGTGTGTGTGTATGTTTTAAATGAACATCACAAATGCAAGATTTTGTTTTTTCCCCTTTAATGGGAGGGTATGAGAGGGAGACAAAATCAAATTTTGTTAATTAAAAAATAAAATTTAATTGTTAAAAATTTGGGACTTTTAGCTTAGTGTGAGTTCACAGTATGATATGACAGTCAAAAAAAAAAGCCAAACTAAAAACGATGCCATCTTAGGCTAGATTGTGAGGAATCCTGTGCAGGATAAGGAAGGTGCTGTCACCCCCTACTGTTCCCTAAGGATTATGTTCAGTTTGGGGTTCCACTGTACTTTGCCCTAGTCAGATGACATCTAAGCACTGAGTTCACAGTTTGGGGTGTCATATTTTAGGAAGGACTTTGACTAACTGGAGAGCATCCAAAGAGGGGTGACCAGTCTGGAGAAGTTGTTTTGTGACCATGCCATGTGAAGATTGGTAGAAAGATCTGGAGATCTTTAGCCTAGAGAAGAAAAGTCTTAGGGACAGCATCCTATCTTCAAGTAACTGAAGGGCTGGCCTGTGGAAGAGAATTAGATTATTTCTTCTTAGAAACAGTGTGAGAGGAGGAATTGCAGAGAGGCAGACTTGGGCTTAGTGTAAGGAAAAAGTTCTTAACAATTATAGTTTCATTCCCCTCTCTAAATCTGGGGTCCTATGATATATCTCCAGGATACTCATCTTCCTCTATTGGTCTATATTAGTCTATCCTTCTTCCTTTGGGTGGGGCACAGGTGTAGGCAATAAAGACATTGGGATATTCTCCCCAAACTGGCTATGTGACCCTGAGAGGGTGCCAGACTACATTGGTAGAAGGAGTTCCCTTGGGGCAGTTAGGTGGCTCAGTGGATAGAGCACCAACCCTGAAGTCAGGAGGTCCTGAGTTCAAATCTGATCTCAGACCAAACACTTCATACTTACTAGCTGTATGACCCTGGGCAAGTCACTTAACCCCAATTGCCTTAAAAAAAAAAAGGAGCTTCCTATATCAGTGAAATCAGGGGTTTGTTCTCTATCCCTGTAGATTGAAATGGACTACTTGGGAAAGTCAATGACCCCTCTGTGGAGAACTTCAAACTACTTTTAGAGAACTTCATAGAAGGAATTCTAGATCAGGATTTTTGTGGAACTACATGGGCTCTGAGGTCACTTCCAACTTCAAGATTCTGTGATTTGGATAGTTGGAGAAGAAGAAGGTAGGCATTCAGGCAGAGGTATTACAAAAAAGCAAGGGGCCAATTGGCCTGTTCCCTCTTTCCTCAGGGTTGTCTTTCTTCAGCCTCTTACTTTCCCTATCTAACGCTCAGTTTACTCGCATGTAAAATGAGGCCTTGGACTAAATGATCCTTCCCAGCTAGAAATCCTAGAATCCTAATATTGCCCTATGACCTGACCCTTTGGCTTCTGGTTAGGCTGGTCCAACCACAGCTGTGTTCTGGAGGCTCCCAGTGAGAGCAGTGAGGTATCATTTGACTTGCAGTTAGTCGGACGTCTTCGGTTCGAATCCTGACTCTGATACTTACTACTCGCATAACCTTGGGCGAGTCACCTAACTTTTCTGGCTTCAGGTTCTTCAGATGATCCTTGTAATCCCTGGGATCTTTTCTTCCAGCGCATAGCCTTCTTCTCCTCCCTTCTTCAGCCCCTCCCATCCCGCCCGCAATCCCACTCTAGGCCACCGGAGGGAGCGCGGACACCAGGGATGGACGGTCGCCCAAGCAATCTCGCCTCGCTCGGTCTGGGAGCGCAGGCGGATGACCAAGCGCTGGCCCAAAGCCGGCTCCAGAGTCCCACGGTGGAGGGAGGTGGATGATTGGTGACGGTTGGTGACGGCGTAGACCCCGGCCTCAGCTCCTAGAGTAGATCTTGGAAGTTGGAAGTTCTGCCCATGGGATGCGCAGCCCCGGGGTGCTGGAGGGGCACGGTCCGGCAGGGCTTGGGGCTGAGCCGCAGCCGGCCGGGTCTTGGTCCCTTGGCTCCGCCTCCTTGTCCGAGGCCCAGCCTGCTGAGCGGGATCCCCGCTGAGCAGGGTACCCTTTTCCCTAACCAAGAGCAGCCATGCTCCGTGGCGTCTGTAGCCTCCTGGGCCGCTGCATCCCACCGCTCCTGGAGGGGCCAGGGCTGGACTTCGCCGCAGGAACCTGCAGGTTTCCTCAGGACCACATCAGGGAATGGGAAACCACTTCTCGTGGCCCGCACCCTCTGGCTCCAGGATGGCCCCAGGTTAAATGTCTAGCCTGCTGGGTCCTTTCCACCCCTTAGCTCTCTGGTGTGTTGTTTCCCGCCAAGGTCCATCTCCCCTCCCACCTCTTTTCATGCTCATCCTCGCCCTTCCATCCCGCACTCCCAGCCATGCAAGTCCATAATCATGTGGGCATTTAGAGGTCATGGTCTGATCCGAGACCCTTTGAGACCCAAACTAGAAGTATCTTCTCTCTTTCCTCTCTGGTCCTTAAAAAAATGGCACAGGATTTATAGTTGGAAGGGACCTTCAGAATCATCTACAGGCATACATCATTTTATTGCACTTCTCCTTATAGCACTTTGAAGATATTTCAGTTTTTTTACAAATTGAAGGTTTGTGGCAAGGCAGGGTTGAGCAAGTCTGCATCATTTTTCCAGCAGCATGTGCTCACATTTTGGTAATTCTCACAATATTTCAAACTTTTTCATTGTTATTATATTTATTATGGTGCTCTGTGATCTTTGATGTTACTATTGTAATCATTTTGGGGCTCCACAAACCTGCCCATATAAGACAGTAAACTTAATAAATGTGTGTGTTCTTACTATTACATCTACCCTACCTCTCCTCTGTCTTCCCTATTCCCTGAGACACAACAATATAGAAATTAGGCCAATTAATAATCCTACAATGACCTCTAAGTGTTCCAGTGAAAGGGTCAATGGATCGGCAGACTTCATTGTCTTATTTTAAGAAGTTGCCACTAGCCGCCCCAACTTTTAGCAACCCACCACCCTGATCGGTCAGGAGCCATCAACATAAAGGCAAGACCTCCAGCAGCAAAAAGATTACAACTTGCTGAAGGCTCAGATGACAGCATTTTTTGGTGATAAAATATTTTTAAATTAGGGTATGTACATTTTTTAGACATAATACTATTGCACACTTCATAGAATACAATATTGTGTAAACATAAATTTTATATGCACTGGGAAACAAAAGAATTTATGTGATTCACTTTATTGCAGTGGTCTGGACCTGAGCCCACAATATCTTGGAGGTGTGCCTGTAGTCCAAACCCTTAGTTTTACATCTGAAGAAACTGAGGCTGAGCCAGAGAAAGGAAATGACTTATTCAAGGTCATTTGGGTAGTAAATAGTGGAATTGGAAGGGTAAACCTCCCTCTTTTATGACTTTGAATCTAGATCTCTTTCCCAGTTCCCATAGAATTATTACTGGGGCTCCTTTAGGATAGCTTCTTTTTATGTAACCTCTCCCCATATCCAGACTTCTCTGGGCTTGATCTTTTCCTCTTGCTTCCAGGATACCCCACCATTGCCACTATCCAACTCCCCTTCCTATTAATCATTTCCAGTTTCTGAGGCCCCATCCATCTGGAAATCTATGGTCCTACGATCTGTATCCAAGCTACTCATCCTCCTCCATTGATCTATAGTAGTCTAGCCCTCTTTCCTTAGGTGGGATGGGGGATTGGGAGGGGAATATAAATATTGGGATGTTCTTCCCAGCACTGACTCTCCTGTCTTATACAATCATAGGTTCGTAGATCTTGAGCTAGAAGGGGGCCTCAGAGTCCCCCCATCTAGTCTAAGCCCCTCACTTTATAGATGAAAAAATTGAGAACACCAAAGGTATTTATAGACACACAGGTCATAAGCACCTTCTGATGCAGAATGTGAACCCTGGTCTAGTGACTCCATAGCCAGGGCTCTTTCCACTTGTACCATGATGATTTGGGACTGCCTGTCTCATGTGCTCTGTTCTGTTCTGAGTGTTCCTGAGGAGAAACATGAGTCTCTAGTCATGAGACACAATGCAATATGGGGGAGGATCTCCCTCTGGGGGGAGGGAACAGAATCCCTGAGTTCTACCCATTGTGACAACTCTTGTCTCACAAGTCACCATCCCTACCTACCATCTGGGATGAAGCTGTAGGGAGCCTCGCCTAGAAAAGGGAACCCCTCCATGGACTCCTCACCCCTTCAAAAACACAAGGGAGCTTCTAGAAACCAAGGCTTATTGACAGGTCCAGAAAGGTAGGTCTGGTTTATGGTAGAAGATTGGGCTACCCTTGGAGCTCAGTGGAGGAAAAAAGGGGAACTGAATGTAAGGAAAGGTTTAGGAGTACACTGTTGGGCATTTCCTAGCCTTTATTGGTTGTTCCTTCCCTGAACCCCCCAGCATATATTCTTTCACTCTTTGCTCACTGATGGGTACTTTGGTCAGGGGCACATCAGTAAGTGGTCCTGCTGCTATGGCCACTGGAGCAAAGGATCATCGACAAAGCCATACCCAGACCCAGCTCCAGGTGCCCAACCGTCTGATCCATGAGAAGTCACCTTACCTACTACAACATGCCTACAACCCTGTGGACTGGTGAGAGCTCCTGTCACTTCCTCTCTTCAAATCCCCACAATAACCCTCATCCCACCCCATGTATGGGTGAGGGACTCACTTTGAGCTTCTTCTACCCCTCAATCTTTCTTCCTCTCTGTCTTTTATCCAAAGGACTGGTAAGGGACTCCCCTCCTTTACCCCTCCTTGCCAGCACATTTACCCTTCTGTCTCCTTGCTTTTCCCATCACTTCTACCTCCACAGAGGGTAGGAGAAAGTCAGCCCATCTCCCTGTTCCCTGACAATATCTATCTTTTCTACATTCTACCACAACTCAATCATTCCCACCCCTCACCCCCCCATTGACTGTTGAATGATATCTCCTCTACCTTAGGCCTAAGATTCATTGTCTGTCTTTCTCCAATTTGTCTCTAGGTTCCCATGGGGACAAGAAGCTTTTGATAAAGCCAAGAATGAAAACAAACCAATTTTTCTTTCAGGTAATATCCTTCCCCATCTTCCCCTTTAGACTGGACTGGGAAATGGTCAACTCTAGACTTCAGATGTCTAGATAGGGTGATGACTATACCAAGATGTCCCTTAGGATAAGTTGCCCTGATGAGTCATTGGTTTGAGCCAGCCAGCTGGGAGGACATCAACCTTCTATCCTGTCCAGTGGGATTGTAGTTAGCTGTCAATGCAGACTATATTTGACTCTCCCACCTGACAGTCCATGATTGATTCTCTTAGATTATTCTCATCTAAGCCCTTGCTACCCACCAGCCCTGGCCAGCACTCATCAATCAGTTCCTCTACCTTGGCCCCTTGTGGCTTCCATTGATCCTGCTAACCAATCCTCAATGGGCCTTTACATTGCCTCTACATTTCTGACCATTTCACTACTTTCCCCACCTCCAGTAGAATGGAAGATGCTTGAAGGCATAGACTGTTTCATTTTTGTCTTTGTCTCTCTAGCACCTAGCAGAGTCTGGCACATAACAAGTGCTTAATAAACACTGAATTGGATTGAATGTGGTCCAATGTGGCTAGCCCTTATTGACTATCCTCTCTGGTCAGTCCTCACTGATCTCCCTATTATAACTCTATAGGGGGATCTGCTCAATCCCCTTCTGGACAGCCCTTAATGACCACTGCCACACATGCATACACTCTCTGGTCATGGGTCTAGTTGGCTATTCAACTTGTCACTGGTGTCATGTGATGGAGGAGGAATCATTTCGGAATAAGGAGATCGGACATATACTCAGCGAGGACTTTGTGAGTGTGAAGGTAGATCGAGAAGAGCGTCCTGATGTGGACAAAGTATACATGACCTTTGTGCAGGTGAGAGGTCTATGAGTGGGTCTCTTGAGAGGCCAGGAGGCTGCTGAAGGCTGCCCCCTAATTCTTTGCTCATCCACTTCCCCAGGCCACCAGTAGTGGTGGGGGCTGGCCCATGAATGTGTGGCTGACACCTGACCTCCAACCATTTGTGGGGGGGACATATTTCCCTCCCGAGGATGGATTAACACGTGTTGGTTTCCGAACTGTCCTCCTGAGGATCCGTGATCAGGTAGACACATGATGCATGTAGGATAGAGGGTTGCAGGTTGGGGAGGGCTGTGAAGGTAGAATGAAGAGTGTGATTGGATGGGTTGGAGGAGTGCATGTAGGGAAGGCAAGGAGAGACAGATAGGATGGCACAAGAGGGGTTTTGAGAGGGAGGATATGGAAAAGGTTGGATGTAGAAAAAAGGGGATGGTGGTGGGAAGAGTTTCCTATGCTCCACATAACTATTCCTGGGATTCCTTCCCAAACAGTGGAAACAAAACAAGGCAATGCTATTAGAAAACAGTCAACGGGTCACCGCCTCCCTGTTGGCCAGGTCTGAGATCACTGTGGGAGACCGAGAGCTCCCTCCCTCTGCCTTAGTAACCAGCCAACGATGTTTCCAGCAACTAGAAGAGGTCTATGATGAAGAGCATGGCGGTTTTGCAGAGGCCCCCAAATTCCCCACACCTGGTCAGTGGTTCCTGTTCCCTTCCCCATACACTTGACATGTATCCAACTCCTGTTCTCCCCAAGATGTTCAGTGGCCCACTTCTGTGCCCATCCTACCTCCCATTGGGCCCTCCAACCATAAGGGATCTTGGGTTTCTTTTTGACTGAGCCCAAACTCTCATCTCTGAGCCCCCTCTCCCTGCAGTGATCTTAGGCTTCCTGTTCTCTTATTGGGTCACTCATCGAATGACCTCTGATGGTTTTCGAGCCCAGCAAATGGCCATACACTCACTGAAGATGATGGCAAATGGAGGCATCCGAGACCATGTGGGACAGGTGAGGAGAAGCAGATTGGGCAGGGCCGAGTGTATCAAGTGGGCTTGGTCATGTTTTGAACCCCTAACATTTTTCTTGGGGTTAGGGTTTTCACCGCTACTCCACTGACCGTCAGTGGCACATCCCTCACTTTGAGAAGATGCTCTATGACCAGGCCCAGCTGGCAGTAGCCTACACACAAGCCTTCCAGGTAACCCCCTGACATCCTATTCCCACAGATATCAAGGTCATTTCTGACTTCAGTCATGCTCAAAGACTTCCAGGTGACCTGTCTCATGCACCAAATGTTGAAGCAAAGTTTGAATCTTTTGGAGATTTTGGTGGCCCTCCCCCATTTCCCAAGGCCATCCAGGTCACCTCAATCTTCAGTCTCTTGAACAGTCCCTAGCAGGTCTCTCTAAAGGGATACCAAAGCCACGATCTCCTCCTTTTGACTTCTGTAAATTTTCCCTGCTTTCCCCAAGATATCAACACCTTCCTCTCCCCACTCTGCAGATCACAGGAGATGAATTATTTTCTGATGTTGCCAAAGGCATCCTACAGTATGTGAGCCAGAACTTGAGCCATCCGGTGAGTGGACATGGGAGGATATGGGACAGGGCAAAGGAAGCCTCTTCTGCTCTGTTCCTAGATACAGATTTGTGACAGGATCCCAACCCCTCCATCTCTCCACAGTCTGGAGGCTTCTACAGTGCAGAAGATGCAGATTCTGTGCCTGAGGGGGAAGTGAAGCCCAAGGAAGGAGCCTATTACCTGTGGACAGTGAATGAAATCAAAGACCTACTTCCAGAGCCTGTAGAAGGCACCACTGAGCCATTGACTCTTGGTCAACTCTTCATGAAGCATTATGGGGTTACAGAGACAGGCAACATTGGAGGCACCCAGGTAAAGGCCCTAGGGGTGTATGTGTGTGTGTGTGTGTGTGTGTGTGTGTGTGTGTGTGAACATGCAAATGAGGCAATGCATACCCAATGTGGGCATAGCTTAGGGAACTACAGAGAGGGTCACAGGCAAGATTATAGATGACATCAGTAAGGGATGGCCATAATGGAAGAGCCATGAGAGAGGTCATGAGAGGGTACCACTGAGAGAGACCCTGAGTGGACATGGATGAAAGGGCCATGAAGAGGGAATCCCTGGAGGGCATAAGTAAATGTGACCATGAGAATACAGGTAAAAGAAAGTCATGGGGGCATAAGTGAGAGGACTATAGAAGAGCACAGGTAAATGGGTTCATGGAGAAATAGGTGGAAGGACAAATACACATAAAATGAGATCATGGTGGGCACAGGTAAGGAGACCATTGAGGGTGCAGATGTGGTGGGTAATAGGGGACACAGGCAAGGGAATTGTGAAGGATACAATTGAGAGGGCTGTAGTGAAGGTACTATGCCGTGCTTTGTCTCTGGGCCCCTCAAGGAGACCCCTAAATACAAGGCACATAGGCCTAGAGTCCAAGTCAACATAAAGATGATACAGGTTGGGGCAACAGGGTCCTTTTCTCCCTTGACTCCAAAGACAGATCCATGATGAGATGCCCACCCTCACCCCCAATTTGGCAGCTGCCATGGTGTAGAGGGCATAGATTCTATACTTGATGGGCAGGGAGATGAAGCTCAGGGAGAGAGCCAAACCTGTGGACAACAGGCAGGATCCAAGAGGCCTAAATGCCAAGCCATGTTGATAGGCCTAGAGTCTTAGTCATGGGGAGACTATCCCAAGCCTGACATGTGTGTCCCTTAGGACCCCCATGGAGAGCTGCAGGGCCAGAATGTGCTGACGGTGAGATACTCAATGGATCTCACCGCTGCTCGCTTTGGCCTGGAAGCAGAGACTGTGCGGAATCTGCTAGATACTGGACGCGAGAAGCTCAAACAGATCCGAAAACGTCGATCTCATCCCCGATTGGACATCAAGATGCTTGCTGCCTGGAATGGTGGGGGATGGGGTGGGGAAGAAGCAGTCTGCCAGATGCTGGTTACTTGGGATGGGGATAGATTTTGATCACCTCACCCCATACACTAATAGCAGAGAGAATGGCTGAATCCCTGTGGCTTCCTTCCAGGGCAGGAAGGAGGAGCGGATAGAATGAGGGAATTAGAAATGGGCTGATAGGGCTGATGAGAAAGGCATAAATCATAGACTCATAGAATGTCAGAGCTAAAAGAGACCTACAGAGAATACCTCCTAGTCCAACCCCCTCATTTTGCAGATGGGAACACAGAGACATAGAAAGAGGAACTATATAAACAATTATTATTATCTTTCCACCTCTCAGGGGGTGGGGTTAGGGGCATGGTATCCCCCACAATCTGGAAAATCTGCATAAATTTTTTTGGCTCTCTCTTCATACTGAGAAGGTCTGAATTTTTTCATTTTCTTTTATGGGGTGTTCACGGTAACTTGGTGTAAAATTAGGGTTAAATATCTGGTCATAGGCTCTGTGTTGTCTGCTGGCCTTCACGTGTCATCTGTGGCTTCCACAAAACTCCCCCAAAATTCCCATTTAATTTCTTATGCCAAGCCTCAATATATCGAAACTGCAAAGGGCAAAGTCACTATGTGGAAGGGATAACTGTAGAAAGTGTGGTAGAGCGGAAAGAATGTTGGATTTGGAAGTATGAGGACCTAGGTTTGATTCCCAGCTCTGCTACTACCCCATGTCACCTCTGTGTCTCAGTTTCCTTACTGATAAAATGAAGGCATTAGATAAGATGACTTTTGAGGTTCTTCTAGTTTGAAATCTGTGATCCTTATGATTCCTACACATACACACTCCCAAATCCCTTCTTCTCTCCCTCATATCTTTTTTCCTTTTTTTTTTCCTCCTTTCAGGATTAATGGTATCTGGCTTTGCAGTAGCAGGGGCTGTGCTGGGCAAAGAGGAGCTGATCAACCAGGCCATTGATGGGGCCAAGTTTTTGAAGAGGCACCTCTTTGATGTCAGTAGTGGACGACTTCTTCGGGGGTGCTACGCAGCCATTGGGGGAACTGTGGAGCAGAGGTAAGGGTCCAAACAGAGAAAGGCAGTAGCAGAGTTTGAGTTCTCCACAGAGTGATGGGTGGGGGCAAAGTTTGGGGTAGAGGAGCAGCTCAAATGGGCAGTACTGGGAATTTGGGGAAGATTCCAAGAACCCAGAGGGGTTTGGAGGAACTCTACTTTCATCTGGTCTCTCTTTAGACGATGGGAATAGAGTTGGACATATTGGGAAAGGGAGAACACTTTAATATCTTCTCCACTGCCCCAAAGCAAGACAGAATGGTGTTTTTTCCCTCTTAGGAATTGGGGCATGCTCTTCCTACAGCAGAAGTTTTTAATCTGGGGTCTTAGATTTCAGGGGGTTAATGACCTTGGGTGGAAAAAAAGATTACATCTTTATTTTCACCAATCTCTAAAATTTAGCATTTCCTTTCATTATGAATTTTTTTTAAATTATTCTGAGAAAAGTCTGTAGACTTTATCAGACCATTAAAAGAGTCCATGACACAAAGTCAAGAACCTCTGCCCTTGAGCATGCTAATTGGCCATTCCCTACAACCTTATTTCTCCCTCCCCTCTTTCTCATCTCCCTTGCCCATCTCCCATCTTCTCTCATCCCCCTAGTCCCTCACAGTTCTGGGGCTTTCTAGAAGACTACGCTTTTGTGATCCGAGGTTTGTTGGACTTATATGAAGCCTCCAGGGAATCTGCATGGATGGAATGGGCACTGAGGTTGCAGGAAATACAGGATAGGCTCTTCTGGGACAGCCAAGGAGGAGGCTATTTCTGCAGTGAGGCCGAACTAGGAGGCAACCTTCCTCTTCGGCTCAAAGATGGTCAGTAAGGGGAAAATGCAGGGGAAGCCAACAAGGAGAGCCCTAGGAGGAGTTCCCCTGGAAAGGCAGTGCCATATGGTAGAGAGAGCTTTAGGCTTGAAGAGATCCAGATCAGGAGAGATCTGGATTGGAATCCCACCTCTGGTGACTAGGTAATCACTTAATCCCACCAAACCTCACCCGTAAAATGGGGATAATTCAAAATTATGTCAGTAGTCCTTGCCTCAGAGGATTGTTGGCAGTATTGAATAGGATAATATTTGCATGGAGTTTCAGAAACTTCCAAGCCCTTAAAACACATTGGTCATTCCATTTATATGAGATTACAGCTATCAGAGATGGCAAGGTGGGATGGATAGGAGGTCATCTTAAAGTCAGAAAGACCCACTTCTGACCCAGCCTGACTTGGGGATCCTGGGCAGCCCCTGTCATGTAACATCTCAGTGCTCTAAGCAATGCTCTTAAGACTCTTAAATTGTAGAGAAGACACCAAATTACACACATACAGGGAGTTTCCCCACCCCAGAGTCCCCTGTACCAATAAATCACTAGCTTAATCACTATTCTTAGTATTATACCTAAATACACACACACACACACACACACACACATACATGTGTGCATGCATCCGTGCGTGCACAATAGATATAGATACATAGGCATATATAGATCTATATATAGGTTACATATTATATTGTATATAAATACATATATAAATACATACCTATATCTGTATATATATGTGTGTATATATATATATACATGTGTATATATAGTATGTATATACCCATACCTGCATGTATATATGTGAGTGCGTATATGCATATATATGAAATAAATTAATGCAATCCTTGGTAATTAGGGTAGAGCCAAAATTCTGCTGGCTGTCACAGCCATGGCTATGAACACACACACAGATACACGCAGACATACCCATCCCTAAACTCACAAATGTGGCATAGGCATAGCTACAGATATGTATATGCACACAGACACACATGCTTGTGGACATACACAGATGCAGATACAAAAACATACAAATGCACACACAGGCATGTAGGTACACATGCCTAAATGTGCAAATATACAAGCAATCATGTGCTGATGCAGGGAAAAGCATACATGAAAGCTTCAGAGACAGGACAGAAGTCATGTGTGTGTGTGTGTGTGTGTGTGTGTGTGTGTGTGTGTGTGTGTATGTGGTCCTATAGGAAGGTAGGAATAAATAAATTAATCTATATAGAATTTTTTGTAATTGTTGTTCAGTCATTTAGCCATGTCCAACTCTGTGACCCTATGAGTCTTATCACACCAATACTGTCCATGGAGTTTTCTTGGCAAAGATACTGGATGGTTTGCCATTTCCTTCTTCTGTAGATTAAGTCAAACAGAGGTTAAGTGACTTGCCTAGGATCACACAACCATTAAGACTCTGAGGCTGCAATTGAAGTCAGGACATCCTGACTCCAGGCCTGGTGCTCTATACACTGAGTCACCTAGCTGCCTTATACATATATACATATACACACATGTATATGTCTATGTGTGTGTATATGTATACACACACACACATATCTCCTATAAGAAAGTGAGAATATATATACATATGTATTATAATATACTTACATATATACACATAGTCCTATAAGAAGGTGGGAATATTTTCCTTGTGATTTCATATGTGGGGCTTGATTCCAGATTAGGGTATACACCTTTGAAAGAGATCAGAAGGCCACTCCTCACAAGCATACCCCTATCTCATCTCCCTTCTTTTCCCCTCTCAATGCCTTTGCCCCCAGGCTACCTGCAAATGGAGATACTAGGGAGTGGCCAGTTCCAGGTCCCTCTCCAGGGCTCCATGACAAGCCCTTTCTTCTTCCTTTCCACTCTCCCAGATCAGGATGGCTCAGAGCCCAGTGCTAACTCGGTGTCTGCCCACAACCTACTGCGGATTCACAGTTACACTGGCCGAAGGAACTGGATGGACAAGTGTGTCAAGCTGCTAACTGCCTTCTCTGATCGGCTTCGGAGGGTCCCTGTGGCACTGCCAGAGATGGTCCGGGCTTTGAGTATGCAGCAGCAGACAATGAAGCAGGTATGGGTGGAGATGGGATGCTGAAAGCAAGGAGATCTGGGGGTCAAGGTCAGAGGAGTTAGGGATTCCTTTGGGAGCCTCTGAGTCCAGGAAGCCCAGGAGGGAAGAAGTTGAGAGGGGCAGGGGAGGGGCATCCTCAAGAGACAAGCCTGGACCCCTCTCCTCTCTCTGAGACTTTCATGTATATTTTTGCCTGCATCAGCACATGATTGCTTATATATTTGCACATGTATGTATGTTTTTTAGGTATGTGTACCTATGGTGCATTTGTATGTTTTTGATCTGCATCTGTGTATGTCTACAAGCATTTGTATCTATGTGCATATACATGTCTGTGGCTGTACCTGTGCCCCATTTGTTTGTGAGTTTAAGATATGGGTATGTCTGCATGTATCTGCGTGTATGCTCATAGCCATGGCTGTGACAGCCAGCAGCATTTTGGCTCTGCCCTAATTACCAAGGATTGCATTAGTTTATAATCACATCAGCTGGTCCAGACTGTCCTCATTCTTAACTTTCCTCCCCTTGCTTTAAGGGACCTGGGATTCCTCTCTTGAGGGCTGACCCTCAGTGGAAGGGAGGGGAGGAGAACTGCAGCCAGAGAATAAGGGAGTAGCAATGTAAGGACTTCAAACGGGGCCTTGGGCCTTCAAGATCATCAGGTAATCCACCACACACTCTTAACAGATTGTCATCTGTGGGAACCCCCAGAGTCAAGACACCAAGGCTTTGATCGACTGTGTCCACTCAATCTATATGTCCAACAAAGTAAGCCTGATATTCTCCTTTTGACCCCATTTTCCATTAAACTCCACCAGCTTAGCCATGGGAAACCTCATTTTCTGGTCCCATCAAGTTGTTGGGGGGTTTTTTTGGGGAGGGAAGACCTATGGTCTCTCCACTATAGGGAACACATCATGAAGAAAAATTCCCTTTATCCATGCAGTTCACAACTATTCTGCAATTTAGAGTTTTAGAGAATGGCTTGGGATTCAGAAAGGTTAGTTAAGTGACTTGCCCTGGGTCACAAAGCAAATGTGTGTCTGAGGCTGGATGTGAACCCAGCTCTTCCCCAAGTCCAGGGGCAGCTCTGTATCCACTAGACTTGATGCTTCTCCTCATCAAACCTAGTAGGAGAGACATAAGAAATAAACCTGAGATTACTGGTGAATGAATGAGTCATTGCTCATTTAATTAATAATGTGGGGATCTCCAGTGAATCCTTGCCCCTCTCTGGACCTCAGTTTCCTCATTTTCCCATTGAGATCATTGGACTAGGTCATCTCTAAGGTCCTTTTCCAGCTTCGAATTTCTGTGATCTTGTGGTGAGATGAAATGGAGAAAGGGGCTGAAGCATGGACTAGCTGGGACCCATTCCCCCTAGCCAGCATCTCCTGTTCCTTCTGAGCTCTGTCCCTCCTTACATCAGGTGCCACTGACTCACTCCAGAACCTCTCCACCATCACCTGCTTTTCCTCTGTCCCAGGTGCTAATCCTCTATGATGGAGAGCCTTCCAGCTTCCTTGCCCGACAGTTACCGTTCCTCACCAGGCTTCAAAAGGTAGAGAACCAAGCCACAGCTTACGTATGTGAAAATGAGGCTTATTCCTTGCCTGTCACAGAACCTGCTGAACTTCGAAAACTGTTGCTCCTATGAATGACTGATCTTTGATCGTGGGCCCTTGGGGCTCTGGGAGGGGTCTTTGAACATCCAATCTATAGATGAACCCAGAAGGAGGGGGCAATCAAAAGTGAGGCACTGACTCAACAGGAGCCCTGCATCAATCTATTAACCCATGGTGACCTCACAGCGTCATGGGTGATTCTCCTTCCTGATTCCTACCTATCCTACTGACCCTAAGGTGACCCCATGGACTCCATGGAATAAACCCCTGGGCCCCAACAGTTTTTTGCAGTGACCTTGGAGTCAACTTCGGGAACTCCTCTTGTGGGAAGAGGAGGAGGGAGGGGGTATTTTAGAATCCTAGTCCCTGCCCCTGAGAGTGCAGGAAGATTCCAGGTCCATTGACCCACCATCCCAACCCATGGGGGTGAACCACTTGAGTTTACATTCCACACATTTACACTCCACACACTCACTCATCTACTCACCCTAATGCTTCTTCTTCCTCTTAAGATCCACCTCCTTTAGTTATCCACGCAGCCATTCATCAAGTCACAAAATATCAAGGTGGAAAGGGACCCCAGAGGTCATAGGATTTAGAACTAGAAGGGACCTAGTTCATCCAAGCCTTCCATTGATATGGAATTCCCTAAGTTCTTGAGATATAGCCTATTCCATTTGGGAACAACTCTGACTACTAGGAGGTTTTTCCTTCTGTCAAGCAGAGATCTCTGCCCTCCAATAACTCCTTAGTTCTGACCTCTAAAGCCACCTAAAACAAGACTAGAGCCTCTTCCATTGCTGTCTGATGCTTCTCAATACCTATTGTGACTACAATTTTGGGGAAACAGAGACTGGGTGGACAAAGCCAAGTCAAGCCCAGGGAGAATGACAAGATAAATAGAAGCAGGATGAGGACTCAGGTGTCTCATGTCCTGGATTTTATACTCTGGAAACTCTAAAAGGAAGATAGAGCCTAGGCACCATGGCACAGTGCATGAAACACTCGTTTTGATGTCAGAAGATTTGTGTTCAGATCTTCATTCTGCCACTTATTTACTACCTGTGTGACCTTGGATAAGTACCCTAACCTCTCTTAGCTTTCTTTTCCTCATCTGTAAAAGGGGTTGGACTAGATTGGTCCCTTTCAGCTCCAAAGCTATAATCCTATTCTCAAGGTGCCCAGGAAGGGAGGAGTTAATGGAAAAAATATTTCTCCCTTGCATCCTTCCCCCTACCACCACCACCACCACCACCACTACTACCACAAGGCTGTTGGAGGCTCAGGCTGGGAAGGAAGAAGGGAAGAGAGCCTTGTTCTGTTTCAGTTTCACATTGGAGCTGACTGGGGGTAGAGAGGAGATACTTGAGTGAGAATGACCTTAATCTTCTCCCCACTGGAGCAGAACCTCTCTCCTTAGATAACTCTCTCCGGAGTGGAGTCTTGGCTTTGAACTCAGGGTGGCTGGGGGCATTGGAGGAGAGGGGGGAAAGAACACCTGGCATAGAATGAGAAGAAAAGAGGAAGGATAAAGAGATGTATGGGCCTGAGGAACTCCATGTGTTATCCTTCCAGCAAGTCCTTTTCCCACTTCTTTCTTCATTCTATACTCTTGTGGACCTGAGAAAGTGGGAGCCCCCTTCTTAACTGACTTCTCTTTTTTTCTGACCCAAGGCTTCAGTGACCATTGTCTTAGGAATTGGATGGGGGTGAGGAAAAGGGCCCTGAGAGTGGAGAGGGAAGGAGTGCTTGGCTCTTATTCAAGGAAAAGGCTCATAAGCCTTCAGTGAAGGGTTTAGGAAGATAATCTGTGCCTAACCTTCCATTTCTTTGTAGTTGAATGAATTGGAGAGAGGTCAAGAATAAGATATCCTTATAGAACCCTTTATTTAAAAAAAAATGAATGACAACCTCATTTACATATGGCTTGGTGCATTATGGGAAGTGTCCAAATCCTTTCAAGCTGCTGGAAAGGAGGAATCTTAATGAGCTCAGTAACCAACATGTTTCTTTCCCCAAAAGCTTTTCTTCTGCCCTGACATGACCAACCTGAGATATAGCTTATCCCATTTGCCTTCACCTAACCCGGCCCCATTTTTTCATTCTCAGATCCCTCTCTGATCTGATTGAATGTTTCACATTCAAGAAGTCCTCTTCTGGTGTCTAGCCTCCTGCTTCAGTGTGAGTCCATGATTCTTTCAGTCTGTTGTCCTTACCTGCTTTCTAGTACTGAGCAGGTCTTTCCTTCCCCCTGCCTGTCCTCACTCAGGAACTCCTGATGGTGTATGACAGCCTCCACATGATGAAAAGCAGAATCCTACCTGACTTGTAGTCAGAAGACTTGGATTCAAATCCCAATGTGACCTAGGAAAAGTCACTTCACTATTCTGGGAGTCCCTCATTTTCCTTGTAAAATGAAGGGGTTGGGCTAGGTGCTGACCAAGGTCCCACTGATTCTCTAAGAGACCCTAGGTACTCTGCTGAACCCCTTCCTGGGAATTAGGAATAGGTGATAAGCGACACATAGGGAGGGAAGGCAGAGACTAGGAAATGGTTTATCAGTGTGACAGCAGGAGAAACACTTACTCTGAGGTCTAAGACCTGGTTTTGAATGGCAAGCTGTGCCACACAAACTTGCTGAGTATCACACCAGCTCTCACTTTCTTCTTCTGTAAAACAAGGAGCTTTGACTAAATTATCTCTAGAATTTCTATCTCAAAGTTCTATGATTCTTATGATTTCTAAGCATTGTGTGACTTCTTCCCTTCCCTCCCCTCCTTTCTCCTCTTCCCTCTTTTCTCCTCTCCTTTTCTATCCTCTCTTCTTTCTTGGCCTCTCCCCTCCTCTCTCCCACCAAACCAGAAAAGGGAGAACCATAGGACTTTAGACATAGAAGAGTGCTCAGAGGGTGGGTATTCCCTGTAAACAGCACAGGAAGGGACAGCATAAGGGGACAGGGGTTGGGGAGCCAGATGCAGAACACCAGGGGTCTCCAGATAGGAGATAGTAGGAGGGAGTTCTGGAGGAAAGACTGTTGTTCAGTAGCTGGGTGGGGGCAGCTGCAGCCCAGGTTCTCTGTTGGATTGATCTATGATCAGCCTCTCCCATTTATCTGATTGCCCTGTCAAACCTCTTTCCATTTCACTTTGAACTTCAGAGACCCTGTGATGATGTCAGGAAAAAGTGGAGAGTGGGGGGAGTCAAAACTGATAGAGAAGGAGTGTTAGCTGAGTTAAGGTAAAAGGAGAAATAAATAAGACAGGATGGGAGGGCAAAGAGAAGACTGGGCTATCCCTGGAGAGAGTATAGGTGAAGACTAACACAGATGGTCACTGGGGTTGGGGGGAGGGGAATGTCATTGCTCTGCCTGGGCATCTGGGCCCATGGTGCTGACCACTGAGCCCATCTGGAGGGGATTAGGATTCTGGCCCTAGCCATGGTCAGCTATCCTCTTTCTGGCCAGAGCCTATTCCATGTTGCCAGGAAATGCAGAAGGATGGCTGAAAGGAGGTCTGCAGTGGGGAAATGGGCAGAGCAGACAGTAGAAACAGTGAAAGTATATATCTAGTACATGTCTCACACACCTGCCATATGGAGTTCTGCTTGGCATACCTCTAGTGAATGCCCTCTTGAGTCCCCCAGGGTACAAACCTTGGGGATAAGCAGAGTTTGGGGAAAGCTTTTCTTCTCTCCTATACAAAAGCCTCAGGGAAACAGATACAATTTGACACCCTTCACCACCTGCTTCTAAATGTCTTTTCCCCTTCATTGCCCCCTCTTTCTGTCTCTCTTCTTGGGCACAAACTGCTCTCATTTGAAATGCTATCAACTACACTTTCTATAGGATTTCTACAAGATCTCTACAGGAAGAGATATGAATTATATTCAAGGTATAGGGGACAATTTAAGCAAAGGCAGGAAGGTGAGAAAGCACAGAATTGCCTGGGGGATACAGAATGAGTGATCTGGCTTGGACTAGCAGTGAGCCGCATATGGAGGAAGGAAGTCTGGGAAGGTAGGTTGGAGCCAGTCTTCGGAGGCCAAAGAATCTGGAATATATTCAGTAGACAATGGAAAGCTATTGAAGGTTTTTGAGTGAGGCCATGACGTGATCAGATGCATTTGGAAAATTAGTGTGATTGTGCTGTGTAAGATGGGTTAGAGAAGGGGACACTGGAGACAAGTATTGCTCATGGATTGTTATTGTGGGCAATTCAGGTTTCAAGTAGGAGAGCTATTTGCCTTCGGTTCCATCAATTCACACATTTGGCAGCTCCAGATCTTCCTCCACCCCCTAGTTCATGTCAGCCCACCTGCCTGTGAAATACCACCCTAACCGTACTTTTAGTCAGAGCTGAGTCTACAGAGAAATTTAAAGTCTTGAGGCTTGTTGTTTCCTGGGGGTATGAGAAGGTCAAGCATCAGGAGATAATGCCCTTCACACTGATCAATAATTATGGATATTGAAGGAAGGTATTTCAGAGGAAGTTCCATGGAGCAAGGGAGAAGAGGGACAAGAAGACCCAAGGATGCGGAAGCAAGTAAAATGTCCAGCTGGAGTTCACTAACTAGGCTTTTTTCTTGCAGATTTTTGTTAGGGATATTTATTAGCAGTGAACTATGCTTGCAACAAGGACAATCATGATAATGATGGGGAGGAAGAAGAAGGTGGGTGGTGACTAGAAATTCCCAGAAAACTACCTCTCTTGGAGTTGGAGCTCTTTAAAAGCATGTAAAGATCCCTATCTGAGTTTTCCATTAGAGGTTGGAAAGTGTCTCTCCTCGCTGTGTGTCCTTGAGCAAATCAGAGCCTTTCTGGGGCTCCGTTTCCTCATCTAATAAAAGGAAGGAGTAAGCTAAGATCTTTGAGGTTCCTTCCAGCTCTAATGCTCTATATATGAGTCTTACGACTCTAGAACTTACACCCTTTTTGTTAAATTGGGGGTTACGCTAATTGGTCTTAGAGCTCTCCTATTCTGTCATCCTATTATTATCTTTATCTTCCTGAGCTTGGCACAGGACTCGGCACCTGGGGACTCTAGATAGGGTTGGTAAGGCGGGAAGGAGGAGGTGGGGTGGGAAGGAAGAAAGGGTTAGGACGGCGAAAAGAATGATTTAGGTGGGGGCGAATAATAGCTAAGTTTCCTCCGGGCCAAGCTGCCTTGCACGGCCTAGGTCACATCCGTACCAGATCTCCTTATCATATCCCCCCCACCCCACCCGGTGCCCCCAAAGGCGGGCCTACCTACCCGAGGGAGCTGCTGAGAATCGGGGCGCAGGGCGGGAGCGGCGACCGCTGCAGGAGGGAAGGAGGAAGGCAAAGAGAGACCGAAAAAGGGAAGGAGGGAGGGAAGAAGGGAGAGAGGATGCCAGCGGCCGAAGTTACCCTCCCCCGGGCGCCGCTGCTCTAAAAGGAAAGGTGTCAGCCTCGTCTCCTAAATCAGAAATAATCATCCCCATAAAGGATGACATCCGCCGTCCACCCCCATCTCCGGTTTGAGTTTAAGACTCTCGGGCTCTCGGAAAGCTGAGAAGCTGCTCGCTCTCTGCCTGGGAGAGAGGGAGAGACTGGGGATCTGCTCATTAGCATTAAGTTTAAATGAGTCCGTCCTCGTTTGCATACTTCCATAAAGCTCGATTTCTGCGGAAGGGCAACTGGGAAGCCGACGGCGCAGACGCCCTGCCCTCGGCTCAGCTCCCTGCCCCCCCCAACCCCACCCTTTGCGGGAGCCGAAACCTTCTCCAGGTCGCGACCCCGAGTGAGGGATGCGGGGGTCTATCTCTCTCGGTGGCGCTGCTTCATACAGTTGGGAAAACAGAAGAAGAGTCCCAGGGGACGCCTGAGGTCATGCGCTCCAGTCCTCTGCCTCCGGAAAGTGCCCAATTCCCAGGCATGGCTCAGGAGAAGGAGGTGACCTGACTCTTCTCCCGTACCTTTCCCTCCCCGTGACGTTCAGGAAGTGCTTCCCAGTGTCTAACCCTTAATTCCCAACACGCTGTAATCCGTAAACGCATTTCCCTCCGTAGTCCCGACAGCTTCCTGCGGGAGGGGGCTAGAGTCGAATGGGTTGTAGGGGGAACAAATGAGTAAAGAGACTGGGGAAGAGGAGGGGGTAAGAACCAGGTGTCGCCAAAGAAGGGGGCTTTTACTTGCCCCGCCCCCTGTCCAGGGTGCTGGGACTAGGATACCAGCCGCCGCCAGCCGCCACGTCTGGGTGCAGGGTTGAAGGAGGAGACCTCATTTGAGCGCGTGGCTGAGATGGAGCAGGCGGTATTCGGACTCTCTGTTGGGCAGACCCAGCTCCATTTTGTTACTCCTGGTCCTATTTCTCTCTGGCTTCTCTTGAGGGAACCAAGAGCTGTCCAATATTGGTACATTCCTCCGGCTCTCCTTTCTCCATTTCCTCCTTTCGAACTGTCCCCATTCTATCAAGGGAGAAACTGAGGCACGGTGCGACGCTTTGAGGGGAGGGGCTGTGGTGGAAGGATACTTCCTTAGTTACAGAAGCTGGCTTGGACTCCAGGTATCTCTAGTTTTCTCCTAACTCCACATAAGTTCATTAATAGCACATGCCCTGAAATCTCCTGCCTCAGGGGTCTTAGTACTCTCCATCATCTTACTCTCTGGGAGCGCAAGAAGGCCTCAGTCTTTATCTCCCCGGTGCTGAAGTCCTTCAGACCAGACCAGGGTTAGTTCCCCTACTCCAGGCAAAAAAAAAAAAAAAAAAGGTGTCCGCTTTGTAAAGTAAGGCCCCTTACCGACTGAGACAAGAAGTCCTGTCACCTTGTGTGGCCCGTGCGGTGGTCCTAAGGGCGCTAGGGGATGTGGCAGAACAGACGGCTCTGTAGCTGTTTCTTCCTAGGTCAAGTTTAAAAACGGTGGGATTAGAGGAGGGGACACAGGGTCATGGTCAGGGGCAGATATAGAGGGGCTGGGTCTTGCACCAGCAGGACGGAGGAGGCAACGCCCACCTCACGGGTCTTGGCCTGGCTGTTTTTCCTTTCTCTAGACCCCCTCAGCAACCCAAACCACACACCCCCATCCAACCGCAAGCCCCGCCCTCAAACCTCAGAACTGCCTTAGTCCCTTGGTCAATCCAGGCCCCACACCCAGCCCTGTCTCCTGTATTAGGCCCCACCTAACTGTTTTGCCTCTCCATCCACCAGGTCGGGGCAACCAGGTCTTGGGGTTGCCACTTTAAAAAAAGATCCAGGTTTTCGTGTTAGGCCCCATTGCCTTCCTCGTGGGTCGCCCCTTCGGAAACCCGGAGCTCCGCCTCCACCCCCACCTCCGAGTCCCTTGGATTGATCTAAATCCTCAGTCTCCCTCATTTCTTAGGCTGCAGTTCTTTCTCCAGCCCAATTCAATTTGGGGGACTCGGAGCCACAGAAGGCTCTAAAGGTCCAAGATTAAAGCGGCAGTAGACCCCAGGGACAAGCCCTCTAATTACCTAGGGGCTCTCTACAAGGGAGTCCTCGAGACCCCAGGAGCCAATAGGAAAAGGGGTTCGACCACTGTGGCACTATGATTGGTTTCTCACATTCCAGAGGGGCCGGGGGTGCGGGGAGGGAAAAAAGGGCGGTCCCAGGCGTCCGGGCTGGAACCGGATTCCAGCTGTGGTTCTTTCCCACCCCCCCTTTCCCCGCCTCCTGCCCGCCTGCCTCAGCTTCCGTCCAATAAGAGGGCGGTGTGAGGCCGGCAGCACGCCTGGATTGGCTGAGAGGCTGGCTCCGGAGGGGCGGGACCCGGGGCTTGAAGTTGGAGTGAGGTATCCAGCTGTGCTGTGCGCTGGGCTCCAAGCTTTAGCTCCAGGCTCTGGTCCGAGAAGGGAGGCAGTGGCGCCGGCAACGGCAACGGCAAAAGCAGCGGCGGCAGCGGCAGCAGCAGCGAAAGCTGCAGCAGCCGCATCTCCGCCCCCGGCCCTGCCCAGGACGGCCCCCTACTATCTCTCCGCCCCACCCGGACTGCTAAGCTTGTGGGGGGAGGAAAAAGAAACCTCTCCTAGCTCCCCCCCAACCCCACCACCCCAGGAGAGTCCTCCTTCCCTTTCCCCCACCGACACCACAACTGGCAACCCGCCGGGGCGATGCTGACTGCTTAGCCGCTGACCTCGTTGCTCTAGAGAAGAGGGGGCAACCCTCCCCGTGGCCCCCAGCCCTAAGCCAGTCTTCCCCTGCTCTTCCACACTCCCCAGTGCTGCAGTGAGGTGGTCGCTGAGTCGGCCGCCCAGCACCTGGACGCGAAGCAAAGAAGCCTGAACAAAGTGAGGAGGAGCCGGCGGGGGGCTGGGGTCAAGCCGAGGCCCAGGGGAAGCGGGGACCCGGCCAGGAGGGGCCCACCGCGGGCCAGGAGCGCGACAGCGGATTTAGGGCCCCCGGCGGGCAGCATGCCCCTGGGGGCGGCGGGAATTGGGCTGAACTGGCCAGCCCGGGGGCACAGCCTCCGCCCTAGAGCCCCCCGGATGCGTCCTCCCAGGGGTCCTCCTGTTCTGTGAGGACCCCCCCAGGGGGTACCACTTGCCCCGCTCGAGACCTGGGGCTCAGGCTGGCGGGAGGATGGACGAAGAGGAAGATGGAGCCAATGCCGAAGAGTTCGGGCAGCCCAAGACCTTGGTACGGCTCAACGACCTGTCAGGAGCAGGGGGCCTGTCGGGACCCGGGCCGGGACCGGGGCCGGGGCCAGGAGACAAAGACCCAGGCAGTACGGACTCGGAGCCGGAGGAACTGCCCTATCCTGCTCTCGCCCCGGTGGTTTTCTTCTACCTGAGCCAGGAGAGTCGCCCCAGGAGCTGGTGCCTTCGCCTGGTCTGTAACCCATATCCTTCGGGGGACAGCAGCGGGGAAATGGGTGGGTGGGTGGGACAGGTAAGCAAGTAGGGAGGGGAGTAGCTTGGGGAGGGGGATGAATAGCAGGTGAAGGGACGACAGGTGAGATTGGAGGCAAGAGAGAATTGGTGAAAAGGGGACTGTTAGAATAAGGGGGGAGGGGAGAGCCAGGTAAGGACATCAGAGGAGAGACAGCCATCACCACCTCAACCCTTCTAGCGGGGTGAAAATCGGTGCTGAACTGCTAGAGAGGGGGAAACTTGGGTAGGGGGAAGGGGTGAGTGAGGAACGTGCGCCGACCGTTCCGCAGCTGGATGCTCTCCAGATGTGGGGAGGGGTGAGGGGGATCATTGCCCTCCAGATGTGGAGAGATGCAGAAGCTATTGATTTCCCTGGCTGATAGGGGCTGGATTTGCTTTCCTAAGTTGAAAAGGGGGGGGGGAAGAGAAAGCAGAGAAGCAGGGAATGGGGGGAGGGGAGCTGTAATTTGCTCTTCCTTTCTTGCCATCTCCCCCACTTCAAAGTTTGCTACAGAATCTGGGGTCCGTCCTCCCCACTTCGACCCTGACGCTGGGGTTTTCCTGACCAAACAGGAGCTGTATGGGGGGGGGTTCTAAGTCCCCCCCGCCATCTACTCCCATCCCTCACTCCCCCGCAGCGGGCTGGAGGCACAACAAGGAGATTCCGGCGGCGGCTGATGTCAGGGGCTGAGAATGAGAACAAGATGTGCGGGGTGGGGAGAGGGGCAGTTGTGCCCCCAAAGCTAGAGCTGAGCCCCTGGCGGGAACTGAGCCGATTTGGAGATCAAATCTGAGCTCCCCGAAGTTATCTGCCCCTCTTTTCCTTATTTCAGGGTGTGGGGATGCTTAAATGTGAGGAGTTTGAATTGAATCTCCAGCGGGCTGGTTTGTGTATGGGGAGGGGGGAGGTAGACTGTTGCGGGAACTGCTCTGTAGAGAGGGAAGGATTGAGCTAGTCAGAGCCTCCCCCTCCCCCCAGCTGCTTCCTTTCAATGAAAGCTTCAGTAAGGGAGAATATGACCAACCCCCTAAAAATGAGGGTTGTAGAGAGTAAGGGCACGAGTGTGGTTTTCCGTTTCTCCCACTCCCCTCCTTAAAAAAGATTCAGGTTGGCCCTTCTCGGTGTCTGGCTCGGCTGATCTGGATAGGGAGCTCCCACCCAAAGTAGAAAAGAATCATCATCACCCCCTTTCAATTTAATCTCCAGTGTTGGGGGGGGCTCCCATCTCTCAAGTAGATCGGCTTCCCCAGAGAAACCCTGTTCCTGGCGTGCCCCCCCCCCCCGCTTTGGTTGCCTCTGCCCAGATTCAGGCACAAAGCGCTTCCTTGGAACGGGACCTGTTTTGGTGGTAGTGGTACTGGTGCTGGTGCTGGTGGTAGATGTTGTCGTTGGGTTTTCTTTGGAGGGGAAGGAGAGAGACTCGTTGACATATGGGGTATCTCGACTGCTTCTCTACTGTCTCTGTTCGTGCCCCAGGGATTCTTTGGGACCTTGGAATCTGGGGTAACCTAATCTGGTCTTTCCCCCTGTTGAGATTCCTGTTACCTATTCTCAGTCCCTGGGGCTGTGAGAGGAGGGGAGGAATGTGTGCCCAGACCACCCTTCACCCCTCTGCAGTTAAGCCCCCACCGTTCCCAGAATTCTGTTCTCCCAGTTCTTCCCTTTCTCTTCTACGCAGAACTGGGGACCTGGGTTCCTGGTCTCCCTACCCCTCAATCCGCTTTCCCCCCTTAAACTCAGATGGCACTAACATCCCCTAAATCACATGAACCCACAGGCACCTCACCTAGTCTGCTCCACAGTCGTGAGTACCTCCTGGATGGTATCTTTTTTCCACTTCCTTTCCAAAATCCAGAATGGGAGAAATTGGGAGGGGTGGTGGTGTATGTGTGTGAAGCTATATACTGTGAGATTTAGGTGGCTGTTTAAATTTGGGTATTCTAAGGTCTGTACCTTAGAATGTACAGAATGCAGAAGAGTAACCCACCCCTGCCCTACTTTTTATGCCTCAGTTTCTTCCCTTCTAATAGATTAAGGAATGGAGGTAAATGTGTTCACAGTTCTTCTCAACTCCCCCCTCCACACACATACACACACACATACACTCCAGGGAAATGGATCTTGAGCTAGAGAAGCCAGCCTCCATAAACCATGAATGGGAAAAGGTAGCAGCTCCCCTCCCCTTTGCTTCGGGGGAATAGAGAGAACAGAGAAGGAGACTTTTTCCACCCCTCCCAACTTACCTCATAAACTGAGGTCTTAGGGTTTTTTGGTGGGGGGAGAGGGTTTTTTTCTATCTAGCCATTATCCTTTTATCCCCACAAGGCTTTCATTGTGTGTTTGTGCACAGGATCCAAGTGGGGAGGGTGAAGGGATGGCCGTAATTTACCAATCTCCACATTGGGTATCTTTGGTGTTAGGTCTGGGGGAGAGAAGGTCAGAATGAGTGGTGAGAGGTGAAGGCTATCTCAAAAGGAGAATTGGAGTTCTGCCTGGTCCCAAGTCTGCTTCTGGAGGGCTGGGAAAGGGGTATCTCTTGGGAAAATTGAAGCTAGTTGGGTAGTCAGGCTTGAGAGGTAAAGGGAAGTTAGGAAGAATGCTGCTTAGACTCCCTCCCTCCTTTTCACACATACACACACACACACACACTCACACACCCCATACTCACAGCTTAAAGTTTGAGGAAAATGTGCATTTTGCATTTGCCAGAGGCTCTGAATTGAATCCCCATCCTCAATATTTCCTTCCTCCTTCTTACTCTACATGCACAGAATCTCATTCAGCCCTATAACACTCATTTATGCCTTCTACCCCACCCCCCACTCTCTACTTCCCCCACTTGAGGCTAAGAAGGGAGCCAGACCCCTTCTCTGCATGTCACTCTTTACCACTCCCTCCGACCATCAAGGCCAACCCCCCAAAGAGGCCTTGTTTCCTGGAGAAGAAACCTGCCCAAGGCCCCATCTGGGATGTAGGGGGTGGGGTGAGGAAAGGCAATAAAGAAGGATATGAGGAATGGGGCCTGGCATTGTGTGTTTGTGTGTGTGTGTATGTGTGTTTTTGTGTGTGGGTATGGGTGTGGGTGCCTGAATTAAAAGAGGATAGCCAACATGGGGTCAGAAGGCATTTCTCCCCTATTCTCATTGAATCCCTGCCCCTCTAGGCATAGGTGCCTGTTTTCTCTTCACTAATGTGTATTTTTCAGTTGGGTGTGTTTTCCCTCCTTGTGTTCCTCCTTCCTGACTCTTACACACACACACACACACACACACACACACACACACACACACACACCAACCAAAGGAGATCCTGAGCATTCCCTCTCCTGGCTGTTATGTCACATCTGGAAGTTTGTGTAGGAGTTCCTCCAAGCTCAGAGCCCAGCACAGCTTTTTCTCATTTAGAAATCATAGGCTGGCATTTGGGATCCAGGGAGGGGGAGTGAGAGAGCAGGGCTGGAGGGGGGAGTGGGGAGCCTGCCAGGAGGAGGAGGCCTAAGCGGCAGGAGCCCTAATGACTTCCAGAAGTGAGTGTGAGTGTGTGACTGTGCGTCATTGTGCGTGTCTGAGTGTGTGTCTGGTGGGAGGGGGAGGGCAAGAGATCTATGAATTTTTTCCCCTTAGAGGGTCTTTGATTTCCTGCTTTACCTGTCTCTTTCTCACCCGGGACTGGGATGTGAAGAGTGAGGCTTTATAGGATGTCGTATTACCCTAATCTCTGTCCTGACCCCCCAAAAGAAACTGGGGAGTTGAGCACTTTCTGTCTCATCTCCTGATTGCCACCTCTTAGTTTCAGGTCCGTGGACTCTCCAGGGTGTGGGGTGTGAAAAGACTTGGGGTGTTGGGGAAAGGCTTGAGGGCTCTGAGAAGCTTGAGATGGAGTCCATGAAGGAGGAGGGGTGGAAAAGGTCTCCTACCTCAAATCTGTCATACAGACTTCTTGCATTAAAGCACCTCCTTCCCCTCCCCTTCCCAAGTTGGGGACTCCCCAGCTACTCTTACTCCTGGCCCCAGTTGGAGCCAGTCCTAGGATTCCCCCCTCCCCACACCCCTCCAGCTGCTCAGGCTCCAGCTCTTCACCCCACCCTGCTGGCCTCAGCCAGGATGGCGACAGACACAACCGCTCACACACAGGCACTCACACAGCAACACACACACACACATACACACACACACACACACACACAGATATGCTTGCACACATACAGGCATAAGCCCTCTCTCTCACACACATGCACATGCATGCACATACAGTCATAGATGCTTGAATAAGATTTCTGGCCTCCTTTCCCTCCCAAAGATTCCAGTAGGCCTGCTGTCTCCCTCTCTCCTTCTCTGTCTCTGTATCTATGTCTCTGGGTGGAGCTAGCTGTCTTTTTTGGCATTTTTTTTTCAGTTCAGCTAGAAATCTCTCTCCCCACACACCCACACACTGGAGAGGAGAGAAAGGCACAAGCAGTATATATGTTTGTGGTGGTGGGAAGACAGCAGCATTTGACCAAGGGGCGCTGCTAGGGCCACGGAGCTCTCCAACCTTAGTCAGTGGATGATTCCCTTCCTGCCCACCCTAAAGTCCGAAGCTTTCTACCATGGTTGTTCCTTGCTCTTACTGAGGTTGGGGAGCTTTTGTGCTCACGTGATTATTGAAGTTGCCAGAACCCCGGGGGGAGGGGGGTCTCTCCCTCTTGTATCCTGATCTTCTCACCCTTTTCCCCTAGTGGCTGACCAAGGTAAGGTTATTTAGGATGAGTTCAAATACCCTGTGAGAAGGCTCTTCCATGAAAGGAGGATGGAAATGAGGAGTTTCTCCTGCCTCTGGTTTCTTCCTCTAGATTGTGGGGAGGAGTGGGGGGCTAGACCTATGATGTGAGGGAGAGTGCTCCTCCAGTTTCCCTTCCCCCCTCCTTTCAGAGCCACTCCAGCCGGGAGAGTCACCATAGCAACACTGGCCACGTGACTGCACAGGTCCCTCTCAGTCACTATGGCAACCAGTGTCCCCTGTTCCCTTGGTTGCCATAGGATATATCACATGGTTTCTCCCCCACCTGGCAACCTGTGTTCCCCCCCTTCCTACTTTCCCTTCCCCACTAGAGAATGGGAGAGCAGTCTTAGGGGAAGGGGGTCACCTCAATTACCATGGTAACAAATCAACACCAACCTAGTGACACATCCTATTATTGCTATAGCAACAAAAGGAACATCACACAGTGACATGGAGCTCTGTTCCTATGGAAATGAGCCCCACCCTGGGATGGGGAAAGAAGGACACCCAACTAGAAGTCCAGCATGGTTGGGTTCAGTCCAGTCAGTGGTTATACTGACCTGGGGACAATGCAGCATATTCCAGCTCCAATTTCCAGGTGCCTCAGTTTCTCTTCTGCTTACTTCTGTGAATTTAGGGCTAGTCAGGTGGAGGTAGGTAAAACAGAGAAGGGGATAGAAGCTTTCTGAAGATGCTTTCTGGTTGGGCCTCAGGAGACACTTTAGAAGATGTTTCCATAGTTGAATGATCTTGAACCGGTCATTTCCTTTCTTTGGCCTCATTTTACTTATCTGTCAAGTAAAGAGGCTGGGTGAGGTCCCTTGAAACTTTAATATTCTATGTTCTGTGTATGGTTGAGGAAAGGGGGACATCTAGTTAATATGTCAGGCCCCTGCCTCAGTTTCTTTCTTTCTTTTTTTTTTTTTAGGAAATTGGGGTTAAGTGACTTGCCCAGGGTCACACAGCTAGTAAGTGTCAAGTGTCAAGTGTCAGTTTGGTCTGAGGCTGGATCTGAACTCAGGTCCTCCTGACCTCAGGGCCGGTGCTCTATCCACTGCACCACCTAGCTGCCCCTCTGCCTCAGTTTCTTTTGGAGGGGAGGGAGAGCTCCACAGAGGACAGATAGCATTGTCCTTTCTTCTATTTACACCTCCCCCATAAATGTTCATACCTTTGGTCATGAAAATGTGTGTGCGTGCGTGTGTATTAGCACTCATATGATTTTAGATTTGGAGCTAGAAGGAAACCTTAGAGATCATTGATATAGGTTCATGGATCTCACTAAGCTCCTTCCCTATCATCCCTCCCCAGTCATACACTAGGCTGGAGTGGGTGAGAGATAGATAGTCTGCTTCCCATAATCACCCTCTTCTTCAAGAGTCTGGTGCCTCACATTGTTTCTAGTTGTTTCCTAAAAGGTGAGACTCTCCTGGCTCAAGCTGGAGACAAGTTAAGTTATCCCAGTTAGTGGGTCTGGAAGAACCCTCCAGCCCAACAACTTTTGGGGGTTCATTGGAAGAAACTTTTTTGATGATCTTACTTCCCACCCATCCCATCTCCATCCCAGCCTGGGAAACACAATTGTTTCCTCATCACCACTGTAAGGTGGAGGAGGGAAACCTTGAGGTGGGAGACCATTTTTGGTCTCCAGTGGGTGTATGAAAGGGGAATTTATTCATTCAGCAAACCATTGATACTTGAACTTATTCTGCATAAGGCACTGTGGGGATGGGGGTGGGTGAGGTACAAAGAAGAGTAAGACAAGATCCCTGCCCTCTAGCAGTTTAAAATCTAAGTAGGAAAAATGAGACAGGAACACATATAATTATACTACAGGCAGAATATGGCCAATGTTGTAAGAGAAGTATGAGCAAAGTGCTATGGGAGTCATCCTGCCAAGCTGTGTGTGTTATGTGCTCCATCCGGCTCCTCTTCCAAATAGAGCCACCCACCCACTCTCATTCAGGTAAACCCTGGTTGGGCTTCCCAAGGCACTCCCACACCCTCTCTCCCAGCTTAGAAGCCTTCACTTTGAATTCTTACTTCCACCCTCACCCTCCTGGGGAAAGCCACGGGGGAGGACCACCTCCTGTGTAGGGCAGAAGAGAGGACAGTCCCAGGGAAAGGAGGGCGTGACAGCTCTTCTGGGCTCTGACCTCCTTCCCAGAAGACTCTGGGGAGAGGTTGAACAGGCGTGGGGGTGAAGGGAAGTTGGGAGCCCAGAGCTTCTAGGAAGCCTGGCAGCTCACCCCGCACCCCGTGCCTCAGCACCCCCTCCCCCGCCCCGTGAACTCTGGCTGACCCCTGCTCTGGGGACAGATCCACCAGCTTCGGCTTTACTCAAAGAAATGGTTCCATGGAAACGGAACACTCTTTCCCGTCTTTTCCTCACTGCCTATTTCCCCCTAACCCCCTCATCTTCTGACAGTCAACTATTGGAAAAATCATTATTGTTAGGGCACAGGTGGGAAGGGGCATTGCAGGTGCCAGAGGTTTGGGGATTGGAGGCTGGAAGAGAGGGAAGACGACCTGCAGGACCGGGATAGGCAGGGGATCTGAGCTGGACCCAGAATTTAGGGTAAGGAGGAACATGAAATACTATTGAATCCTAGGGTTAAGCTTGGAGGAGTGGTCTGCCTAATAGAACCGCTTAGCCAGATGCTGTTGCCTCCTTCCCCACCACTGATTATAATGCACAGCTTCACCGTCGGGGAACCGGTTCTAGTCCTCAAAGGGCGCACTTTGCGCAGCTCCGAAAAGCGGTGGGGAGAGATCTCCAACCCCGCCTTCCTGCGGGTCTATTTTATCTTCCTTCACTCCTCCCAACCTCTACTCTCTATGTCCCTCACCTCGGCCTCTTCTCTAGTCTCCAAGGACAGAGACATCTCATGTTTTAAAAATTGCAAAGAAGGATCTCTGAGGTTTGGGGGTCCGAGTCACATCGCTTTCTGCGTTTCTGGGGGTAGAATTACTCAACCTTGCAGAGGTCGTTCCAGACTTCTCCTCCTGCTTCACAGGACAGCCCTTCCCTCAGTCTGAGCCTGGAGGGCAAAGAGGAAGATTCAGCGATGTGGGAAAGACACCCAGCCATTCCCCAACGCCCGAGAGCCTGTCCCCAGTGACAGTCTACTGAGCCCACGCTGTGCCTTATGTCAGGCAGGGCGCAGTAGAGTATGATGGAGTGTGTGACTGTGCATAACTGTGTGTGTGTGGTCTCTTCGCTGCCGGTGCCTGAGGGCAGGAGTCAATCTGGGCTTGTACCCCTGCAACTCCCCACTCCTCGAGATGGCTCCACCAGGCATAGGGGGCCGAGGTGGGACTGAGCTGGGCTGGATCTAGAATCTGGAGCACTCAGTGAGGTCTCCACTGGCCCGTTTCTCAGACCATCTGTCCAACGAGACCGGGTTTTCTCCATAGTATGTCTGTCTTTTCCTGTCCCACTTCTTTCTGCTGGGTAGCCACTTGGATTTTCTCTCTCTCACATACATGGGCAGGAATGGATGGGTGGGTGGGTAGCACAGAGAGAGGATGTAGCGGGGTGAAAGCTAAACTCACACCGGTGCCCTGTTGTGACCTTGACTGCTACCGAACCTGGTTCGAACGGGTCAGTATGCTGGTTATCCTGCTGAACTGCGTGACGCTGGGCATGTTTCAGCCATGCGAGGACATCGCCTGTGACTCCCAGCGCTGCCGGATCTTGCAGGTGTGTTAGTGGTGGGGAGGGGGCCTGAGGTCCCCGGGGCATTGGGGAGGTCAGCTCCTAAGTTTCTAAATTTCTCCTCTGGGTGCACCAGAGTCCCCCAATCCTGCAGCACCATTGCCCCCTCTGGGAGCAGGCCTCCTCTCCACCACTGTGGCCTCTCCTCAGTTCTACCCCTTCCCCATTCAGAGTTGACCCCAGCCCCCTCCCCACTCTCAGGCCTTTGACGACTTCATCTTCGCCTTCTTCGCTGTGGAGATGGTGGTGAAGATGGTTGCCTTGGGCATCTTCGGGAAGAAGTGTTACTTGGGAGACACCTGGAACCGGTTGGACTTTTTCATCGTCATTGCAGGGTGAGTGTCAGGCATTCTAGAAACTCTGTTCTTCTGGTTCCTAGGTTCAAGGCCAATTGATGAAGTAGCTCCTCCTGTTTCCTGATATTCTCCCCAGTCCCAGAGTCTGGGATGAACTACATCCCTTGTCCCTTTCTCCCCCTTCTTTCTTCAATTTGCTTTAGTGATTTTCCATTCTGAGAGTGATATGGAAGCATCACTTCACACCCACTTCCACAGGCCAGGCTTGAGTACTGGGGATGTCACCAAAGAATCACATTCCTGCCCCAGGGCTCTAAGTTTCTCTCTGTATATATTTACCCTAAAAATAAAAAAAAATTTTAAAAGAAGCAGTATGACTTAGTAGATGGGGAGCTGTCCTCCTAGCCAGAAAGATCTGAGTTCAAGTTCTGACTGACTTATCCTGACTGTGTGACACTGAGCAAAGTCACTTAACCTCTTAGTGTTCCATGAAACTCTGTAAGACTGCAAATTGCAGGCAAGGTGTCACCCTACAATGATGGAGCAACTTCCCTATGCCAGCGAGATCACAGATCCTATCTGTTGTCATTACCTGGATCCTCAGCTTTGGGACTGGTTTGCCCCTAACAAATCACCCATGTTAATTTGGGATGGGACCATAGTTGTCATTTCATCCAAAGAGAGAAATAACCTCTCTGAGTCCCTTGAGGAGGGAGGGCAATGAGCCCTGTAGTGTTTCTAGCTACTTGTGTAGTGGGAAAAGCCCTGTTCTAAGAGGCAGGAGAGGATGATTCTGGTGCCAGAGCCACCAGCACTGTGCTGCATTGGTCAAGTCTCTTTATTTCTCTGTGCCTCTATTCCCTCATCTGTAAAACAAGAAGAGTTGGACTAAGCAATGTCTCAAGTCACTTTTAGCTCTGTCGTTCTATGATTCTAACCTTTGCCTTTGTCTGAACTCCCATCGTACTTCAGTATTCTGATCTCTCAGTGTCCCCTGAATATTGGCCTTTCTCCTACAGGATGCTTGAATACTCCCTGGACCTTCAGAATGTCAGTTTCTCTGCTGTTCGGACTGTCAGAGTGTTACGGCCTCTTCGAGCAATTAACCGAGTCCCCAGTGAGTGATCCTCTCCCTGGGGCAAGTGGGCA